GGGAAGGACTACAGGGGCGTACTCAGGGGTGTAATGCTATCAAAATAGCAATGGGGGCTCCTTCACAAAACGCGGCGAAAAACAATGGCAAAAGTAGAAATTACTGTTCTTTTCAGCATTAACAAGAAATTAATGTTCTTTTCGGCTACTTTACAGCATTAATAAGCCCCCCCCTCTGAGCCCCCCTGAGTCACTATACTCCTGGGTGTACTGACCGGTCAGGCACAACTGACGTGGACCAAAGCTCGGGCTCTGCAGGGGTCCTGGCTCTCTCTGCTCCCTACTTTGCCCAGGAACCTGTCAGTGCGCCCACGAGACTCTACAGACTTGTATTTTGATTGCTTTATGACGTACGCTTACATCAATTTGGGTAGTTTCGAACTCCTTGTTACCGTCATCCTCATTAAAACAGGCAAAAAGACGGCACGCGTAACTATAATATTGTAGCTATAATATTGTAGATTGCCCTTTTCAGAGACGTTCGTCAAGACATTAATGTTGACTTTGCATCTAAACACACAGCTGGTCTGATGGAATGAAATTCTATGAAACAGTCTCATTACAAAAAGACATTCAAAAACAAAACCATAATATTTACATCAGGACTCATTGTGTGTTTATCACCTTCCACTAATTTTTATAGTAAATGTTAATTCTTATCACAAGCTATTTTAGTTGTTTAGCATTAAGGTGGAAATTATTGAGTTTTTCGGTATGCAGAGTAAGTAACTATCCATTCTTTGCGTTTATTACTTGTCAAAGACATAGACGATTGCCTTAAATATGAACTGCTCTTTTTCATAAATACTTAATCAGGAAAATAGGTTTTTCTGCTCTAATTCTAGACATATTCCGACGCTAGACGTTGTCTACGGTGTAAACAGGTATTCAAGATTAAACAACAAAAACCTTCAATCGTTAATGTTTGCAGTAAAATGCAAATGATAAGTCAAGTAGAAGGAAAATTCACAAATAAGTAACTTTAGATCCACAGATGTAGACTTTTAAGCTTTATCTCAAATAAACTTGTCGCATGCTTAAATGCCTTTGTTAGATATCAGGGACACCTTTCTTACATGTCTTCGCATATTCGTTCGAGTGGATAAGAATTAAAGATATCATCTTTCCAAAACTCTTGCTTTTCATAAACTTTTGTTTTTCCTAAACCTTGTTCGAATAATTGGCGATCGTTACACCCGATTTGCTGTTTATTTTGAAGGTATGATGAGTCAATCGCTGTTCTATGTGGGAGCTGCAACTTTCAAAGCACATAAGAAGCTGCCACAATCTACTACTGCCACAAGCGCCCACTACGTGCTATGGCTTAGAGACGATATCGTTTCTAGGGAGTGGATTGTGGCAGGCACTTCCCATTGACATGAAACAATCAGATATCCTTTCCAGCTTTAAAAGGAGAATAAAATCTTGGAAAGGAGAGGAATGCAACTGTAGACTGTGTAAACCTTTCGTGGCTCAGGTTGGGTTCTGGAACGGATAAATGTATTGTATTGTGAATGCAAAAAATGCTGCAAAAACATTGTATTTATGTATTTATACTTATTTCTTATGCTAGATATATATGTATTTTTAATTTTTATTGCTAAACAGTTGTACTTTGTAGTAAGCTTGAAGTAGTTTTTACTCTGTAGCTATTTTCATACGCCTACTTTAAATAAATAGATAAAAAGTAATGATATGTTAGTACAAATATAACTGTCATACCCAGTATCATTAAATATAGCACACATGTTTAGATTACAGGAAGTACAGGAGCACAAACTCAAGTACCGATTAAGAAACAGCAAGGTTTGCCAAGAGAACAACGGTTTTATGAATGTTCATCTATTAAAATCTATTTACTTTTACCTAGTTCTTTCACATTCGCAGTATGATCTTATTTTTTGGATTTTGATTAAAAGTAACAAATTGCTGTTGACTAAAATATCTTAATTAGAAAAAAGAAGTTTCTACATTTTCTTCTTTCCAATTACTCAACCATTATTGGGCTGAATTAGTAATTTTGCTCTTATCTATATTTGCGTGGATCACAATATATTAAAAAACCACGTAGGTAGATAGAATGATAAAAAGATTAACTGGCAATCCAGAAAAATGTTTAAAATTCACAGGTGCTGATTAATGTCACTTGTGATGCATTCGATTGCAAACCACAGCTTAAGTTAAGGTGTTCTTGCGAAAATTCAAGTACTTAAAAACGTTGACATTATAAAGAATTATGTTGCTCCTTTGGTTTTATGAATTTATCTCAGTAAGTTTCATTGCATGTTATCAAGCATTAAGGATCAAACATACACATTGAACATTAGTTTGTGACACAGGCGTAGAGGTAATTAAAAAAATCGTGTAGTGTATTAGGCATAAAACATTTTATTTCGGAGATTAGATCAGGGTCGGAGTGAAAACATAGCGTCTTGTTTCGTGCAATTGTTTAGTTAAAATGCTATTGTATGTAGTGGAATTTTAAAATCATATGAACTGACTGAATTGATATACTGTACTGATATGTGTGCTCTCTCGGTCTAGCGTTAGGTCGCAGCGGATTTTAGGCATCGTGCGCGCATACACAATAAACCGCATAGCCCAAATGGCAGCATCACAAGCGTGGGCAATTAACTCCACGGAAATCCCGTTCATCTTTAGTGAAAATCCTATTTTACTGAAAATCCCCAGAAATTTCGCTTTGGTAAAAACCTCGAACTTAATTTAGAGTAAATTGCCCCTGGATCGCAAAATTAATGTATTAAATTTTTAGGACACAGCCCCCGCACCAACCACATCTCATGGGTTTTACTGCTCGAAAGATGTTCGACCTTAAGCCGATTTTAGATTAGTCATTCATTATAAAAAGAGTCATTCATTAAAAACTTTTTGTCTGAGACTCTCTAGAATATAAAACTTTGAGAAAATGATCAAACATGTTAAATTAGAAAAACTAATACTCAGTTTTCGAGGCGATTTTTGCTTTTTAAAAGCAATTTTCAAGTTTTGCACTGTCCAGAAGTTGTTCATTCATTCTAGTTATCATATAGCCGTAAAATCAAGATACGATTTTATTTGATGTTTACCGAAATTTACTCTTTTCAAGCCGATGAAAAGAACAGTGCGCTTTCTTTTTTCCAAATGATAGCAGTATCTTTTGAACAAGCTAGGACTTCTCCTAAAATAGAACCCTAATCCCATTTCAAATGAGTTTAAGGATAAAGTTAACTTTGATAGAATCTTGCCTAATCGTCATTGTTTTCTCTGGAAAATTCATTTCGAGAATCCATTGGCCATTTAATTTTTTCGATAGCCTCTCTCAGCACCCTGTGGAGCTGCTGCTCGATTTTACGACAATATGCTGACGCTATTAACGGTTCGCCTTGCGAGATCATGGAGCACATTGAAAAGTAGCCTGCTTGAGAACAGCTTGGGTTTATTAACTATACCGTAAGCTTATTTTCTTGCTAATGGCCGAGAATGGCCTTCCTACCCAGTATTGTTTTGAAGAGCATTGCTACCAGCTGCCCAGCGCTGTTGTTTCTCTTTCTACTTTTTCTTGTGTTAAAAATGAAAACATAGCATTGAATGCCATGCAGACATGTATACCCAATCAGCTGTCTTTTTTCGCCATTGGGGAATACAAACAAAGCAATTTGATTATCGACATTTTGCACAGACACTCGCTTCATAAACAGTACTTTTAAACTTAATCCAATCATACGCATTTGTCTTTATAACAGCGAGGTTAAGCAAGTCGGCTTTCTTTCAGATAGCTATACATATCTCATTCTTTTGGATATCTCATCTTATGATCCTTTTTGTCAGTTGCTTTCATGTGCGATCGATATTTTGTAGCAACTAAGAATAGAATAAAACATTAGAACCTAGGCACCTACTTTGGGTTCATGTAAGAGTAATGTAAGATTTCAGCCTCAAGGTCAGTCTCCTTTCTTTAGAAATTTCTTTAGATATTTGGCAACAAAAGCTGGTGGTAGGTTACATGAAAGGCAATATACAGACGTTTCAATCAATGGGAAGAAGGCCGGAAGAATGTTTCTGTTATGGAAACCTCAGAATGATTATGTAATAACCCAGTATTCATAACAGACTCAATCAAAGCTAAACGTAGGAAGCTGAAAGACATTGGACAGCCCTGCGTGATCAATTTTTAAAACAATAGCAAATTATTTACAGTTCCATTCCTTCATCTCGAAGAAAGACTTTTCTCAGCTTCAATAAACGTTTATTGGTGTTTGGTTATTTGTGTTGGGTTATCGCTAATCGGTAATTGGTAATCGGTTATCAGTAACCGGTAATCGGTTATCAGTAACCGGTAATCGGCAATTGGCGATCGGCTTTAATGATTTTACTTTCCATTTCACCAAAACCATTTCATATTAAATATTTTTCATTAGCAATTTCATATTTATCCTTGTCTATCAATTTCAAGTTTTTCCTTGGACTAAGAATCTTCCAGTAACATCTCAGTGATAAACTAAGTTCATTTCTCTTTATCTTTAGGACCAATTTGTGACGTCACCCAAAAAAGAATTCGGGATACATTACTTTGGACCGCATAACCTGACGGAACACCATGAAATACCTCTAAACAACCAAAATCAGCTGATATTCTAGAAATTTGGTAAAATATGGACAATAAGAGTTGCCAAGTTTGCTAACATTTTGTTGTCCAAATCACAGCGATTTGATTGGAAAGAACCTGTGCACACGAGGCACTATCTCAGCCAATTTGTAACATGTGTAACTTAATACCGAGCACGGCAACGCAAAACTGGTCACGGTAAGGGTAACAGAAAGATTTAGCACGGTAATATGGAGATAAATTTTGATTGGACTTTGTAGTATTGTATAAATTTCACAAATATCCAGAAACTGACTTTCTAAAATCTGCCTTTCTAAATTGCCATTGTAATCATACTCGTCTAAGCTCTGCAAGAACAGTGTCACGAGCAGACAATGGTTTCCCATATGTAAAACCATTGCAGAGAAGCTGCATCGCAGTTAAGTCCACTTAGAAGAAAGTTTTTTGTGTGCTTTGTAGAAAGTTATTCTGCTGATCAAGCAGAAGAAACTCCACCTTATGCTGATCAAGCAGAAGAAACTCCACCTTATGCTGATCTCCTTGAAAGTAAGGAAGTGTTCATATGTACGTTCCTTTTAATCCATAGAACGCGAAATTTTGCCAGCGCAGAAACATGAACTCCAAAATCCTATGAAATGATGGTCTTAGGCACACCAGACCCTAATTTACCGGTAGATTATCGCAGCATCCTTGAGTTTTATGGGTGTCCCCTTTTCAGGCTGGACTTGATAAAGCGTTGATATAATAAATGAGATGGCAAAACAAAAGACTGGGGAAAAGTTTCCTTTTTGCAAGAATCCTTGCAGTAGGCCAGGTGCAAAGTTGCCTGTCGTGTGAAATTTCTCGTCTCGTTTTAAACAGTAGGCCTAACCTTCAATTGCCTTTATTGTTTTTTAAGCTATTGTCTTTAGTCATACTGCTGCACACTTGATAACTAATTAGATATAAAACTTACAAAGGCTCACCAGCTTTTAACCTTTCGTGAGGCACCTGATCGACAATTTCTAGTAGCTCTGCAAAAAGGCCATACATTTTCAAAAAGACATGACCAATTCAAATTTGCTTCAATAGACTACAACCGTATTAAATCGACTGCCGTCTAATCCCATGTGACGGTTGGCAAGCATATGAGCAGCTCTCTCGAGACAGGGTCCATTATCAACGGGGGCTGAACACGTGGAAATGCCATTGCTTGATGCACAATTATTGTCAGAGGGAAATGCAAACAATTAATTCTAGGCCTTTAGGTTTTAGCACACAATACAGCCACATTCAAGTTCTAGATGGTAGGCCTCGTTCTAAATAAAATTTTGACAAAATAGGCGATTTTGCTTTATCACAAGGGATCAGGAGGTTATATGATGCAAATCAAGTTTTTCAAGACTTTGACATGAAAATTAGTAAAAAGCATACAGCTTTCAAAATGCAGAACCTTGTCTGTGTAAGAAGAATCTTCTGCATATACTGCCTTGGTGCCTTCATTCTTATTAATGCTCTCCTTTTAATCACTGCCAAAGTGTTCCAGCAGTAGTGCCTTATGGCGAATCTTTGCTAAATCAGGCAAGGTTTATTCGAACAGATCTCAAAAATTTTATCCAATTTGACTTACAACCTTGCACCTTGTTCTTTTGATCATTTCTGTTGGTAACTCGTCGTTCTAGAAAGTTGGTGGCGGGTGATTGGATAAATCGACTTTTATGCAACAATGTCACATTCCAATGGGTAATGGTCGCAAGAATAGCATGCACTGCAGAAAACATCAACACTAAACTTGGAATGAACAAAATTTCTTGATTAAATCATAATGTTTCTTCTTGCTATGAAGTGGAAAGCTTGACATCAAAGTAAGGTGCTGAGTAAATCCTAACTAAAGATAAATTTTGTTTTGATTTTCATTACATTATCTTCCTTGCTTGAAAAGAATTTCCTGAAAGATCAGTTTGAACTCAATTACGTGCTTTATAATTGGAATCAATATTTAGTAAATATGATTTTAAAGTTAACGAAACAAATTGCTCTTTTCAATTGATGACAATAAAGCCATTCTCCCGGTGATTATCATGGCCGGCCAGTCAGGCCTCGTCTAAAGCTTAGGGTCAAGGCACCAAATCGTAGGCATTTACCTGTTTTTTTATACAGGTCTTTGGTTTCTGGTCCAGCTATGGATCCACTAGGCCTTGCGAAACGAGAAGAATAAATAAGTGAAACGGGTTTATCAACAGGCAGGCAGCAGAAAGAATCTGTTCTTAGCAAAGCAAATCTCGCTTACATGCATTTTAGCAAAGCAAATCTTTCGTTTCAGGGCCGAAAACCATTCATTTAACCGTGAGCCGGGCAAAGAGCAATCAAAGAAACCACAGGATAAAGGAAGAATGGCTGAATCACAAGACAAAAGCAAATTGATGTATAAAACTCTGGTTGATTTTAATATGCTAATCTTTAAATAAAGGTACAGGCTACAGCATACAATGTCGATTTAACAGTTTCTCTTGATTCTCATACATACTAACAACATTTCAATCATATTCACTGTCTTTTAAATTATATTTACTAAATATTTACGCTTGGAGCTTAGCTCAGGAAAAATATTAGAATCAGAGAAAATATCAATGCATCATTTTACTTGATTCAAAACATTAAATTTTATTTCTTGGATGCAAAAAAATTTGAATTGTATTAAATAAATAGTGGATCATGAGAACAGGGTCTGTGACCAGCCAACTGCCCCCACCAGCCAATTATATAAATATGAAAACTTTTTCTCTGAAAACAGCCAAATCAAGGCCTGGTCAGAAAGCGGGTACTTAAACTCTTTTGGCATCAAGAGACTGCTAATTTTTCTGAACATCACCTGGGTAACCAGCTGAAAATGGTATGTACAAAAGTCTATTAATAAATCAAAGAACTTGATTTTTCTCCAAATCGACTTGAATGTCACAGTGAAACTTCTCCATTTAATCTTTATACGTTGCAAGAGACTGGGAACTACCCACCATAAGCTTAAAAGGAATCAGCGCCTGAGACTTGGTCTTCTGGTGAAGTTGTTATTGGAAATTCAAAAGTAGAAATTTTCAGCTATTCAACAATTCAGCAATGATACATCTCAGAATCTTTTAGACTTTTATTTAAAACTAATCAGTAAAACTTTCTTATTTTCACGGTGTATGTAGCATCGTTTAGTAAATAAAATACCATGAACTTTTTCGCATTTACATTTCTGATACAATAAATTAATCTTCATTTGAGTCATTTTTACAATGAGAAATATGCTGTTTCAGTTCTCCGCGCTTGCTAAACGACCGTTTGCAGTATCGACATCTGTATGGCTTTTGATCGGTATGGGAGTGCATATGAAATTTCAGGTTTGAAAGCTTGTTGAAAGACTTCTTGCACACGTTGCATTCATATGGCTTTTCTCCCGTATGTATAAGGACATGATTCCGCAAATTGCCTTTCTGGTGAAAGCCTTTTCCACATACATTGCAAGTAAACTCTTTCACATTACTGTGTGTTCGTAAATGTGTCTTCAAAGTCGAGGATCTGCGAAAATCATAACAAAATTAAGATAGAACAGAATTTTCTGTGCTTCACAACGTGCAGTTCAAATCCCCTCATGTTAACGTTCTACTAAACTGACAAATAGAGGGTAAGAAGAAATATGAGCCAATGTGCTTTATGAGTGGGAAGGTAATAGGCGTGGCCAATAAGACCGCGCCCTTATTCTCATTTAACTGCTATATACCAGACTTAAAAGGATATGTCCACTACCTACCCACTGCATTTTTATCAGTTTCTTACAGAATCATGTAGGCAATGCTTTGATAAAATGGGGGGGGGGGGGGTTATTTTCCTCACACCTCCTTGTCACAGATTATCTACATCGAGCTAGCTTCTTCTGCTGAGTCGTATTGGTTCGAGCATGTATTCTATTTTTCTAATCCAGTTACAGGCAGTCTCAGCCTTCTTTCCACAGGCAAAACAGCTCTCCATATGCTCGTGATGACGTCAAACTAAGTTAATGGCTTTCCATTGAGAAAATATACGCTCAAGCACGGTGAAGCGTCAGCTAAAACTGAACCTTTTATCTACCAAACGTGACAATATCTTTAACTTGGTAGATAAAAAGCAAAAGAGAAACTACAGATTGCTTTTCAAAGGTCCCGAGAAAATGGATAAAACGGAATTTCTTATCGAATCATGAAAAAACACTTCACACCAACCAATGTTTACTCAACTTTGCTCCATACGGCCAATTTGTTTTACAGAAACGCGTGCGTAAGCTGAAATATTGTATTTTATCTACGATTCAAAGGCAAAAAAGCAAACAGTTTTTAAGGCGCAAAATCTATGTATTTGGCTTTTTTCAGACGTTCAGCGCTCATATTGCGTAGGCCTTTGTCATTGTTTCCGATAAAGGTACACAGCTGAAATTAGCTATTTATTGCAGTTTAACTGTCATTGTCTTAGACTGTCAAGGGATAGGGTGTCGTGCTCAAGAGGTACTTAAGAGTGAACTGGGCTAAATATTTCAGCTTTTAGAGGACTAGGGGAAATGGCAAATGACAAGGTTATTCGGAAATTCACTGTGCATTCTACACTGCTCAGAGTGTCTAATTTCGCATTTGTACTGTACTATAGCAACAAAAAATGCTTATCTAGAAACTGCCTTCTCACCTGTTAAATGATTTCTGACAGACATGACATCTATGGGGTCTTTGACTGGTATGAATTATTTTATGGCGGCAAAGTGTGCTGGACAATCGAAATCCTTTGCCGCATGTTGGGCAAACGAAGGGTTTCAATGTGGTGTGGGACGGCATTTTTCGGTGAATGTTTAAAGTGTACTTGGTCTTGAAAGTTTTCTCGCATTGATTGCATTGGAACTGAGGCTTGTTACCGAATTTTTCACTTTCAACATCATGATGATGATGGTGCCGTATTAAACCATTTGGTGCAGTTTTCATTAGGTACTTTGCCTCTTCTTCCTCTTCATCAATACATAAAGGGCTTTCGCTGTTATTGTTGTTGTTTTCGTTGCTGTTGCTGCTAGCACTACTACTGCAAGTTGAGGTGCTGTTGTTGTTGTTGTAATCGGCTTGCCATTCAAGTTCTGAATCGCCTTCGTCTTCGTCAGAGTCGTGTGACGTGTTATTATGAGTGACACCTAGCCCAGCCCATGGTTTGGACGAAAGATGCTTTGTTAATGTAATTCCTTGTTTGAATTCGAGCAGCCGGTACCTTTCTAGTTCACCTTCCCGAGAACATTTCTCTGACAGGACACCCCTCGATGTTACTAGAAAGTCACCAAAGTAAGGACGAGCACCATATTTTCCCATGTACCGTGTCTGTGCTAATTCTTTGACGTCCCGGTAAGCAAGGCAATCTGACTGGCAGCAATATTCTTGTGGGTTTACTTTTCTTTTTTCTAAATACACCTGGTTGTCTTCAGTGACATGACCTAAAAATAAGATCAAATATCTTAACTAGAGGGAAAAATTGTCTTTATGTTGAGTGATCAAGCAAAATCTAATAGTGGCGATGGCAAGAATAATGTGTTAATATAACAACCGCTTTAATGATCACCTGAAAGTCTTTGTAAAGAAGAAATCAGCTAAAACAGAGAGGGGCAACTACCGGAGGGAGGGGACACTTATTTCATCTGTATTGGACATTTCGTTCAGCTCTAGGGGACAATGAAAGCTGCCTATGTACTTCATATTACACATCACTGACCAAAAATATCTTAGGAATACGTTTCTAAAATACATCACTGACCAAAAATACGTTTCTAGCTCTCTCTCTCTCTCTCTCTCTCTCTCTCTCTCTCTCTCTCTCTCTCTCTCTCTCTCTCTCTCTCTCTCTTATTTCTAGATTACTTCGTAGCCTCTATGGAATTTTTGAAGTAGATTAAACTATAATGCAAATTATATGTCTTCTGTCACTTAGTATAGAAAGGATTCATTTTCGATCTTTTGAAAGACATAAATAAAGGGACGTTGATTTGAAGAAGAACAAATTGACTTTTTTATGTTGCTGGCTACGGAAGAACTTGGGTAGTAACATACAAAGCAGATAAGACGGAGTTACTGACAAGGCTTTTAGTGCCTTAGGAAAGATTCGATAGAGCGAATAAGTGCTAAATTTTCATATGAAGCAAAAGATCCAAACTCCAAGATTTCCTTCAAAATGAAAACATTCACAAATTGTGAAGATTTGTACCAAGTCATCCGTTTAAAATAAGAGAAATTTATCTCAAAAGCTACACCCATAGCAGGAATCTTCGAGGAAAACAAAATTTACCTTGATTCAAAACAAAAAATTTTGCGTTAAAAAGCTTCACCCAAAGAAAAAGAATCTTTATCGTGTAGAAAGCAAATGACTTAATACGAAGCAAGAAAGTTTTCACTCAAAAGCTTTCTTCAAGCTGTTAAGATGTGAATAAGATTCGCATGGGCTCAACGCATATAAAGCGATAGATTATTTTCTATACAGAGAATGGCCTGTATTATAAAACTCTATGTAGATGACTTGAGCTAATGCTCCTGCGCATAATATGTTCCTGCGCATAAGACTCTACATAAGCTAGAATCTTTGAGAAAAAAAACTCATTTTCATTAAAATCATGAAAACTTCATTCAAAAGTTTCACCAAAATAATTTTCACTATGCAGAAAGCAAAAATTAGCTTGATACGAAACAAAAAATTCTTCACTAAAAAGCTCCCAAAAAAGGAATGCGTTTTAAAGAAAACCAGGTTCATCTTGATTCGAAACGAAAACATTGTCAATTCATTCGAATGAAATAATTTCTACTTTGACGCGACGAAAATCTTAACCTAGACACATCCCACAAATGAAGAATCCTCCAGCAAAACCAAACTTACTGTGATTCGAAACAAAAACAGCACTACATAAAACTTTACCAAAGCAGGAATATTTAGTAAAAAAAATTATGTAACCTTTCAAAACTTATAAAAGTTCTAAATTCTAAACTTTTAAAATTATGTAATTATGTAAGCTTTCACGAGAAAGAACATTCCAACAAAAAGATTCGTCTGACAACTCAAAATCACCCTTTCTCGAATAAAATATTTTTCTTCATTATTGATCTTGTCAGGGAAATTATGAACCAAACTTGTTTTTCTTCGAATATTTTACAGCTGGTTGGTCTGAAAAGGAACTGGCGGCTGCAGGAATATTATTCGGGGGAATGAGGGTTTTATCCTTTATGTCGCAAAAAGATCTTGTTGATACCAGAATAACATCTGCTTGTCTAAGCATGGCTAATTCTCCGTTCGAGCTTAAAAAGCACGCACAATTTACAAAACTGGGCTAGACTGATTAAAAAGATGCGCTGCCAAACGTGCAAACGAAAAAATTGGCTGCTAATGTATGCTCTGGCGAACAGATGGGAGCCAGGTTGGCGATGGCTTGAAAGTGGCCTAAAATTGATACTGTGCCGCTTTAGAATACAAGATTTGGTCTGTCACAGTTAAATAACTGTGATATTGATGGGAATTCATTGCGATTCAAGAGAGCGTTGACTTTAATACCGGCAGGTGCTCGGGTTACGTTTGGTGTACTGCCTGTAGGCTGTTCTTTTTGTGTTTTGAAAAATCGCGATGAATATTTCATGATCACAAGTATGTTTAATGATTTCTCTTGTAAAGTCCTACAAAACTGATTTAGGAAATGTCGAAATTGTGTCTACTGTCTGAATCAATGATTGTACACGGTGGAAATTTTGTAGAATGGATTTGAAACACTTCATTTTAAAATGTCGAGGAATTTTGGACTCGGAGCATTGTTTAAAGAAGGAAATTGGGTCTGGGGCCAGCTTTACATAGTGATGAAATTCCTATGTATATATACATATAAGATACTCGGCATAGAATGAAAGAAAAGGGCCTAACCTGGTTGGGCATCAAGCAGGGTGATTTCTCGCAGTATTAAGAGCAGAATTGACAACGCAACTTAGAGCCAAAATATAAAGGCATGAAATTCAATAGCTTTTGCCAGTCAGATATTGATCTAGCAATTTTGTTTATAAGACCTCGTGTAAAGACCTTTCTTTTCATTTGTTTTCTTGAATGATTTAGTGTTTTGCAGTTTGGTCATCGTCCGGTGTTTTGCTCGTCATTGCCTCAGAAATAAGCATTTTTCTGCAGGAAAGCCCTAATAAGAATCCAAGCTCTAAGATGTTCAAAGGTTAAGAAGCCATTGTGCTAATCACGCTTAAGAAAATGCTCGAAAATGGTTCCTTTAAAGACTGGGTAGAAACAATTTTTCCACGATAAAGTGATGATCTCTGATTCAATTGAGACAGATAACAGAAACAGGAATTCTTGCAACTGATTAGGTGTACAGCTTTACGTTATGTTATGATATATTTTTGAGAAATTTTTCTTTCTTAAAAATACCTCTTTAGCACTTCGCATTCAACAAATCTTTAAGAAATATTTAGGACTATAATTACCAAAAATAAGAAACTGGGTACAAAATCTGAGCGGAATGTAGTTTCAAATAAAGAAATGAATGCAAACAAAATCCATCGGGTTTAACTTTCAAAATTCAGCTTTATTCAAGAACATACTTTTCGAGCCAATCTGGTTCTAGAAAAGATTCTAACTATGCGCTGAAAAAACAAACTGTTTTGCTATGATTAAAAGAGACAATATTCTATTGTCTAAAACAAAGAGATTTTACTAGTGCTGAAGGGGCAATTGCCCCATAAATGGTACGCTTAAAGGCTCGGATTGGATTTGTTAAGGGTATACTTCTATTCAAAGAAACCGTGCTTGGTCGTTCTAGTTCCCAAAATATGTCTTAACGCTAGATGAAACGAATATTCACTAAGACATGCTCATTTAAACTGGGTTGAATCCTTGGGATTTAACTGTACCTCATATTTGGAGTTTTGTGCGGCACTAGAAAGTAAAGAATTCACGGGGAATTGCGGCTTCAGAAGATCATAGAAAATTTACGATCATTCAACGGAAACAGGAAGAGAGACACTGAATCCCAGTTTTAAGAAGCTTGTTTATCTCTCGCAAAATTTTATTGACTAAAATTCCTTTCACGCAGCACTGGAAACAAGTGAATAACATGGATAAGATGAAATATCCAACAAAATGATCTCAAGTATTGTCAGCAGCTCAACGGCTGCTCGATTAAAAATTTAAATCTACACGAGAAAGTTTTATTTTTTTCCCAGACAAGCAAGTTGATCGTAAACACTGCAATGCAGAAATGATCTTGAGTAATGTGGGTTTGGAGCAAGAAATACCTATGTAGCTACATTCGGAAGGCAGGAAGTAAAATAAAAAAACATTAATTGATGCATCACATAAAAGTTTTTAAAATGCTCAGTTCTAACTATCTCAGTGCTTATTCAAGTAATTCTCTCCCGCATTATTCAAGTAATTTTATCAGAAAACATTTGCAGACCATCATTTCACATTACTTAGTCTTAAATTGTAACTCGCTCGCTTTAATGATGTTGAGCATCGTTTACAACATACACAATTAACCCTATACTGCATCTTCATATTCAAATTTAGAAAGTTCAAATAGACGAATTATTTCCACAGGACACTCTTTGAATCTGTAATTGAGGCGCTCGATTTCGGACACCGTAATTAAGCCATATCTTATACTTTTCCTTAATTTGAAAGTTTAAAAATTGACTCTATAGATATCTTACATGCCACTTCACGGCAACTCGCACTGCCAAATGAGCAATTCAATTAAAATTGCTTCAGGTGTTATAATACCGCAGTTTGGTTCAAACATTTTCGATGTGACGTCTTATGAAGATTCCTTTTCTATGATATTGCCTCCTTAAAGTGAGACCATGTGATGCAGACAAAAAATTCATAAAACTTCTTCGGGAATAGACGAAGCTAAAAACTATTGTCAGCATCGAATGGCTGTTCTACTCACTTGCTCGAAAAGGCATACAGACAACTACGTTATGCCTTCATCACTTTCGTACTCGCAATTTCAGCCAAACTACCTTGTGAAGAGTTCCGAAAGGCTCGTAGAAGAAGATTTCATACGAAACAAAACAACACAACATCCTCATTTCTTTCCTGTTGTGATGAATATATGAAATAGGTGAGATACTAAAGGTTGCAGCTTTTAATGGCAATAGTTGACTGCTGCTATCTCGAAGAATAAAATTGCATCGTGTAATGCCCATCGAAAGTATGATGTAAACTAGCAACGGACGAAAGGAGTTTCCGTTTCTGTTCGCTGCAACGACGCAAAGCAATTTTGAGCCGGATGATTTGTTTTCAAAAAATGCATTGCAAGCAATTTCGGATCAAGTAGGGGACTTGAGCCTTAAATTTAGTAGCGAAATGTTTTCAAGTCTCTATTCCATTTAAATGAAAAATTAGGAAAATATCAGGTAGATGCTACTGAGAGAAAAGTTAATACAACAAACACTGGAAAGTGCTCAAAGGAAACAAAGAAATCACAAAATCATATTCTATGTTGATGATTTCTTCAATTTTTGCAAGAACGTAACAACAGGGTTGGCTCCTGTAAGTTTCAGCATTATCTCTTGTCCGTTTAAGGGCTATCCAATTGATAAAAAAACTTATATGCTTGATTTGAAGTTAAACATTCATTTATTAAATGCAACAAAGTGCATTACGAGAGAATGTAAATTCATTGTCATGTCTAGAAACCAAGACAGTGAGCTAATTTTATTTGAATGAATGTCTGTAACAAATTCTTGCACTTACCTGAAGAAACGCTTTTCTCATCGTGCTCTTTGCTGTTACCCAGTCGCTTAACAAGAAACGCTCTTGGCATCTTGAGTCAATCTTTTTGCACCTTTGGTTTGAGGTGTGGGATGCCAATGGATGACACGAAAAATATTTACACTGTCGAGAAAGTTCTTTGGGAGAAAAGGGCGGATGATGACAAACGCAATGAAGGTATGGATTTCAATGAGCAGACAAAATGCAGTTTTCGTGAGTATGCCGAATCGAATACCACAAGCAAGGCGTCTGTGACTCGAAGGTCTTCTTCTATGCGAATCCACCACTGGCTTGTAGGTTAAACTCCAAATTCTATTAGTTGAACAGTGGAAGGAGTTGTAGTTGAAACCCAAATATAGAAGTGCCAGGCGTCTTTGAAACTTCGTATGGGTGAAACCAAACAAAAAAGCGTCAGGAACGCAAAAAATATCGTCAGCTACAAATAGCTAAAATGCTTGTACCCACACTGTATCGTTTTTCCAGCGATAGAGAAATAGCTTTGGTTGTGTTCGAAGAACGTTTGCTCTCAGAGTTATTTCTTCAGAGATCGGTAAGGAAAAGGCCTTATGCTAACAGCTCGACGTTTGCAGACGCGCATTTCCTGATCTCAATGTACACATCCTTATACGATCAACTTAAAGCACCTATATTTGATGGAATTTAATAAAATTCACCATATGTCCTTCTGCTTATAATAAAACTTCATCAATTATTCACGTAAAGTCTAACATTTCAAAAAACTTAATCTAGCTATCTGCGTGATGCGAGCAGAGTTTTCGAGCCATTGTTTTCAGAACAATGCAGTATGCACAAGATGGTTGGGTCTTTAACAAAACGCCTTGCGCACTTTTGATTGCTGTTATAAAACCGCCTTTGCTTCCGTATCATTTCCCAAAGCGACGTCAAAAGCGGTGATGTGCTCTCTTCATTGATTAAGTGAATTTTCTATTCTAGTTAACTGATGGCATTTATGCCGAGTCAAATTTAAGGAAACACTTTGCACGTCACCTGACACAAATGCTTCGTCTAGTCAGGAGTGGAGAAAAGACGGGGTAGATATTTCAGAGTTCTTAGTAAAAAGCTCTAGGTTTTTGCTGTAAATACGACTAAACCGGCTGTGTGGCCTGGGGACGAGTGATGTAATACTATGGCTAGGGTCACAGCTGTCAGCGGGGCGCGTTTTGCAAACAAATGCTTTGATGAGTAAAAGAATAGAGATTACACATTTGTTCTTTAAAATGTAGAGATATATCGTCCAATGAATCTCACCGTTCTATGAGTTTTCTTATTCAATTTTTTTAGGGAAATGAACAAGCTAACAAGGCACTATGATATATATATATAAATATATATGACCATACATAAGCAAATAGTCATTGACATTAGAGAAATGTTTAAAATATGGAACAAAGTATGGAGTATAAAATAGACGGGAAACTTAAGACTATGTAATCAAGATACTTATACTCATGAAAATTGTTTTAAAAATTTGCCAACCCATCAGAAAGAAGGAAAGGGAATGTTTTATGTCATGAGTTAACATAAATGTTTAGCGTGTATATTTGAGTTAGCAGATGCCTCTCCCTGGGCTGGCGCTAGGGAAGGAATGTATGGGCTGAGTTCCCTTAACGGATTATGTTAACCTTCGCGGGGAGGCAAATCTCTGATCTGTGAAAGCAAGGAAGGATTTGCTTTAGAGAGAATAAATTAGATTGCAAAAATGCTTTAAATTCTGCCCCATTTGGGAAAGGGACTGAGCTCTGGCAGCCTCCTTGAGACATCATAAGCAGACAATTCGGTTGTTAATTGACTTTTCCTACGATATTCCTACTGTTATCTAAAGAGTGATGTCCATAAAGTGAGTACAATCTTAAATGCACTAGGTAATAAACAGCTTAAAACAATGTGCATGCAAAGCGAAAACTAAATTAAATCGGCTCTAAGGATGTTCTACATTTGAATACTTCATTTCGACATAATAACTCTGATGAATACTTATTGAGGCTCCCAATTCAGGGGGCAAACGAAACGTTTAATAGAAAAGTTTGGGGCTAACTTAAAGGGTGACATTTTCTTTTGCATATCATGGTCTCATCGAGTCCCGGGGCGATAGAGAGGACCAGCTTTTCAAATCACAATTTAGTCTGGAACTGACATGTTAGCAGTATTATCGCAGCAACCCCCCTTCCCCCCAACACACACACACACACACTCCTAATTAGCACCAATGATTTGCAGCATTCACAATTCATGTGTAATATCAATCAACATTTATCGACGGTTTAGAAACTTCAATGCTTGAATTCTAAAAATGCTGGACATAAAATTCATCCCTTTGTAAAGGAGGGGAGGGGGAGAGAGACTTGCTTTTGCCAGCAATTTTCTGATATGTAATTAGATACAATAGGTTACCATTGGGAGGCCTAAACACTAGAAATAATGTTTGAAACCAAACTTTTATTACTTTTATGAAAGACAGCCAATGCTGGCAATCGACACATCTATAAAGAGACAACCGATCGTGATGAAATACTTTTCCTACTAGACATTCCAGAACGCATGTCGCTTAATACTCTTGCAATTTGGAATGAGGTAGTCCCTTTCGTGCTGGTCACACTAGCTCTCTCCAGCCCCAATAATTCCCGCCACACAGCCTTGATGTAACTACGTTGTAAGCAACGACTTTTCTTGATGGCACACAACGCCCCCCCCCCCCCTGACGGCATGCATGCAAACAGACAAAGCAAGTCAAAACTACCTTCACACATGTCACTGTTGCTTCTAAAACTTAGACCTCACCCCTCGTGCAATTTTGGTTTTTATTTTCTCAATACCTTCACACAGCTGTCAGTGATAAATTTTTCATTCTAGGCAAAAAACATCACAATCTAACAACAATGTAATTGGTGGCAAAATCAGTCATTAATGCCGAATCTACCGAGATAAACCCCAACTTATGCCATTTGGGGGGGGAGGTGGGTTGTCGTAAAATTCCAATAAACCGCCTGTAGCACCGCCACCACGTCTCCCGACAGGGCGTCCCCTTATTCTATTTGAAATGGGAATCTGCATAACGCATTTACGTTGATAAGCACGTTTTGCTTTGACCAAATAGGATATGAGAGGGCAAGCCTTTAAGCAACAGCTGTAGTTTAAACGAAAAATGACATAATCTAAGTTACGATGATTAAAAAAAATGAAACGCTAAAAACAAATGCTTTTGGTTTTGCTTTTCAAATTAATAAAACTCGAAACTTTAATAAATACACAACGCAACTCCGTAAATATTGACGGCGTTCAGCTATTTCTCTAGCCTCAGAGGTATGTAAAATTCACCCCACCCTTCTAACTCGCGTGGCAAAATGGAAAACAAAGAGTTCACAAAGAGCCTTTTGAATACTAATTGAAGGCTCTAAAAAGGATGGGTTATGGTAGGGTTCGCGTAAAAATTCTACATAAGTGGATGTCTGAAATAAACAAGTGACTTTCGTGCGAAAACCCTTTCCTTATTTTAAACATTTTTACAGCGAAAAGAGCTGAAATATAATCTTAGATCAGGTTCCCTATTAATGCTGCCAAGAGCGAAAGCTACAACCTATGGAGCCTTAATTCTTACCGTCTGTTGCAGGCTTCAAAAAGGTGATAAAAAATTGGATGGGTTGAATGTGCAAGTGCAAAAACTGCTCATTTTAATAGTATCAATATTTGTGAATATAAATAAGTTAAATTTTCTTTTAATATCTTTATGTATTTTTCATTCTTTCAAGGATTGTTTGACTGAATTACCTTTTATATATGCCACTGTAAAAAAACCAACTGTGAAGAATTGGAAAATGATAATTATCTGAACAAGAGTATATACGCCCTCATGGCGAATGAATTCTTCAGCGAACTAATATTCCAGCGAATTTGGCCAACACCCTGTTAATCAAATTCGATCCTAATCTACTGCACGCTTGTAGATGAGGACAAAAAACATCGCCAAAGGACAAATGCCTGGAAAGAAAGAAGTGTGTGGTCCGGAAACATACAGTAAATTGCGCATTTGGCGAAAAGGGTATCATTAATACCCGGTAAAATGAGTAAACCCGGTTGAAAAATGTCTCTGCACTCTCTTTGTAGTGAAAATTATAAGCTACATGTATTAGCGACGGGGGTAATGTAGGCCAGGATTTGACACAGTTGACACAAAACATCAGAAACATACATTTTTAGGACATGAACAAAGATAAAATTCATTACTAATATAAAACTCACTGATTGAGAGCTAAAGGGAAACAACTATGTTGGGCTTGAAGTTGATGGATGAGTGGGAAGTGAAGAGTTTAAGGGTTTAAAACGTCTACCTAACCACATGCTTGTTATGATTGCATTCGCTGAGGATGTTATTCAAGTGCCATAATTATGACCACTTTCGAAAAATGTATAATCATTACTGTTTATTATTTATTCATAACTACTCTTGACTTAATAAAATATTAAACAATTAAGATGAATCATACTTTTTTTCTATTCATATTGTTTACAATTCATATTTTCATTCCCCAGGCTTTAATAGGCAACAACGGCATCGAAAACTGATTCGGCAATGAAAGCAACTAAGGAAATCTTTGTGTTTAAGTGAAGATTGTACCATTGGCAAACTTAAACCCTTATTTATAGCAAATAGTATCCTTATGTACAGTCAATCAGCCAAATTGAGCGCAAGATATTATTTTGCAGTTAAACGGTTGTATATCAAGAAACCTGTGATGCAATGAATTATATGTAAGCTGAAAATGCTTATCATAAGATTCTAAATACATGAACCAAAGTACTAGAAACAAAAATTTAATAAAAAAAGCTTTGGTCCCAATGGCTTTGTATTCTTGCTTCAAAGAGATTTAATGAATTACCATTCATCGCCAGCAAGATCGAGTTTTTTTTCTAGACAATTAAACTGGAATGATTACTTGTAGCGGAGACCAAGAAAAAGAGACGAAGGAAAAATTCACGTTGTTATGTTCACGTGTGTTGGCCTAAAAATAAGGGTTCGATGTTCAAAACGCAACAAAAAGCTCACAAAATATCAAAAAAGCACATTGGGCGTGAACATTGCAACGCATATTATAAATTGCAAATATTTTGACAATTATGGCGGCGTCCAAAGTAAGGATCACAGATACAGACGGAGGATACAAACACAGTTGTCTGCACACCTTCACTGTTTCCCATGGTCCATGCACCTAATGCTAGCGGAAAGAAACATCTGCGAGAAACACCTTGCTAATGCTGGGATAAAACAAGCTTTTTGCTTGGCAAATGTGTAAGTCACTTGCTATCCTAATTAAATGATAATCCTGGCTTGAGAAATGAATTTAAAAAACCTATGAGTGGTGATATGAGAGGATATTCTTTGGTACGAAACGAGCCAAAGCTCACACATCCGAAACTAGCACCTTATCACAAGCGACTACCATGTCTATCAATAGGCAATCAGTCATATCACAGCGATCATCGCGTCTATCAATAGGCAATCAGTCATATCACCAGCAATCACCATGTCTATCAATACACAATCATTCATATCACAGCGATCATCGCATCTATCAATAGGCAATCAGTCACATCAAAACTCCTCTTGTTAACCAGATACAGAAAATCATCTCTTTGATGCTCTTTGATGTAGAGGGAAAAGGAAGAAAAGCGTGAAACTTGTCGCAATAGTTCTTGTCTACCCAGAGTTGATAGATCATTACCAGACTATTCAGCCAAATCAACTTAAAAGTTCGGCCAAATTTGGCCAAACAGATATCAATATGAAAATAGAACAATAGACGGATGGTCACAGAACAATAGACGGATGGTCACAGAACAATATACGATGGTCACAGAACAATGATGGTCACAGAACAATAGACGGATGGTCACAGAACAATAGACGGTTGGTCACAGAACAATAAACGGATGGTCACCGAACAATAGACGGATGGTCACAGAACAATATACGGATGGTAACAGAATAATAGACGGTTGGTCACAGAACACTAGACGGTTGGTCACAGAACAATAGACGGACGGTCACAGAACAATAGACGGATGGTCACAGAACAATAGACGGATGGTCACAGAACAATATACTGATGGTCACAGAACAATAGACGGATGGTCACAGAACAATAGACGGTTGGTCACAGAACAATAAACGGATGGTCACCGAACAATAGACGGATAGTTACAGAACAATAGACGGTTTGTCACAGAACAATAGACGGATGGTCACAGAACAATATACGGATTGTCACAGAACAATAGACGGATGGTCACAGAACAATAGACGGTTGGTCACAGAACAATAGACGGATGGTCACAGAACAATAGTATGGTCTGGCTGAGAACAACCCCTGGGCAAAATATGTTCAAGATTTAATTTCTTAGTAAAATTTTTGTTTTGGTCAGACAAGTTCAGCTTCGGCCAAATGAAATTGCAAATTCAGCCAGATTTGTCAAATTTGGCCAAAAAATGGCCAATATATCAACCCTGACGCATACCGGTAAATATTCCAACACGAATTCCATGGAATTTTGAATCTATTTTTATAAAGCCAGGATGCATGTCTTATTGTCTATAAATTCTCTTAAATGCATGCTCACATCAAGAATGCACAGTAGCATTCCGGATAAAAAGTTACCGAAGGACCTGCAAAACTGAGAAAGCTCCGCATCAAGAAACAGTCATTCGATGTTTGTCTTTCATTCTATCTTAATGAGACAGAAAAAAATGAATTTCGATGGCTGCATTAACTAGTCTAAAAAAGCTTTAAGATCCGGAACAATTTTAAAATACCGACACCAAACAGATCCGGTATTCAAATCCTGATCTGGAATTACTTCTCCAGTAGTTTCAACCGAAACAACTGTCATGCTAATTGTAAATCAAATGACAAAATGAATATTTTTATCCAAGAAGAGTTTTGAAAACAAGACTGTGGCACATAGGATGGCTTTAACTGCTAGCCCCAGTTTTTATGAGATTAAAGCATTTAATGAATTACTCCGGTCTTCATGTCTTCAAAGCTTTGAAATCAAATCATCAATATAGTTTTATCCACAACTTCCCAAACTTCTAGGCTACAGTATCATAAAGATACCTAGCGCTATCCTACTCTATCAGATTCTATCAGCAACCCCCTGATAGCATTCCCATTGGCTTGGAATTTAAATGAAAAATGATTATCAGAAACGGGTGAGCATACTGAATTTGCCACCGCGCACTCAAAGCCGCTTCTTTTGATTCGTTAAGATACATAAAAATGTTCACTGAAATAAAATGGCCGATAACATGCTTGCGACTTTGCTGACAACCATTTTCCAAAGACAATTTGGAAAGGCAAACGGCGGGGTCAGGCAAGCTTTAATTCTATATCGAGATAAATTTACTTTTAAACAACACGGTGCATTATTTGTCAACATACGACATTTTTGTGTAATGTTGTTAAAGGACGTAACCAATTTTAATCAAACACAGAATTCATACTTCGACGTCCAATTAGAGCCCTTTCTTTTGCATTTTCTAATCTTGTTACGAAAGCAAAAGAGAAAAGAGATCACAAAGCCAACGCATTGTCTATCACCGCCAATGTTTTCTGTTGGAATCCTTCTTTATAATTAAGATGTTTGAGCATTTGTTCAGTCTTATTCAAATACGAACTGATTTTTGGGCATGGTTTTTCCGTTACTGTGTTTTTTGAGTTCATTTTCTTTTGTAGGTCACGTTGAGTCGCGCTCAAATATTGTCCTTTGCACGTGCCGAAAGCTCGGAAGAATTTAAGTAACCACCTGGAAAGGATGAGAAGCAACGGCCTCTCTCGGACGAATCTCCTGCCTGGCGTACAAAACTCTTATTCGCAGTCCCCATTCCACTGTACGTAGCTTTGTTTGAAACTCCGCAGCTCCCACCAAGTTATGCGCAGCACCCCCGAAATAAGATTCTCAAAGCATGGAATATGTCTGAAGAAGGAACGAACACCAACGGTTCCACTATCTCCACAGGTCATTAGACTGGCAACATTAAGGATACAAAGGAAGCTGAATACGATCGGTGTTTCATTTGCATAGATAATAAATTAAACCTTTGAAATATCTATCATTTTAATAAGAGATAAAAATAACTTCATGAAAAGTCATGGCGGAATCATTTCATTTGCCTTTCCGAACAAATTCATACAAATTCTAAATTTCAAAATACAATTCTTCAGCTATTCAGATCCGTTTCAAGACACCAACATTTATATATCAAAGAATCAGCTTTAATTTACCTTTATTTTCAGCTCTCTATCTCCATAGTCTTTTTAAAGTTTTCATAAAAGTCCGACGCTTTGGAAAGTACAAGAAAACCCGGTGCTCCACATCTTACAACATATCTGAAAAAATGATTTAAAAAAGAATGACTGAGAAATGGTGGGTATAAGACTTTTTACTCACAGCTTTCCGCTCTAGGGGGAGTTTGAGGCCTCGTTTGCCAGGAAAGCGAGCGAGACATCTTTAATTTGACGATAAGCTTGAAAATTCACCGAAAAAGCACCCCTAAATGGCATAAGTTTTTCTTTTATGAGATGAAACATTTTTCAAAATTGCATTTTACAGAAGCTCGGCCTCAGTATGTTCTTAATTTATTCTCAAATTTTGACCAATTTTGAGGTTTGTGTTCTTATAAAATTGTTTTTATAAATAAGAGTGTAAAGACACTTGAAAGATCTCCTTCACATTTAAAAAAGGTTGATTATGTTGCCCAATAAATTATTCTTGATCTGTTATTAAATGGTGAAACAATGATCTCTTACTTGTCCGAAAGCCTACACAATAAAAGGCAATTCCTATATCCTCAAAGTCTGAAAACCTAAAGGCGTATGTTGACAAGCCAATAACCTACTTGATGGAGAAAAGCTTGGTTACGAATAACAGCACTTATAGTTCAAATAACAGAGTTTACTCAAATCAGATTCAGAAAGATTCTAGGCCTCGACGAAGCATTTACAAGACATAAATATCTTAAGGCAGATTTCAGGGTCTTTTCTCCTTTTTATTAAAAAGGGTTATCGTCAGAACAGTTCAGAAATTTTTAGGGGGTTTACTAGTATTTTGGGGAAGCACCGCTTCTATAAATTGAAGACGAAGTTGTTCTTAAGATTTTTCTCTGATAAAAAATTTTCTTGGCTCGAGCTTCTGACATGAACAAACTTACAATAAGAATGAAGAGAGTCGCCAGCCCTTTGTAATTCCAATCTAAGAATCACGGGATGTGGTAACACGAGATGTAGAAAACTATAAACGATGAAATATAGAAAGAGTTCTAAGAATAACAAAAAGATGTACTTAAAACGATTTGGATGAGAGAAAAGATGACAAAATCAGAGGAATTACTTGTCTACTAACCATGTAACAAGCTTTGTGTCGGACGAGCGAGAAATTATCTGATTATGATCATTTCATGGAGAAAATTCAAACTAAAACAATTTTACTAGTTTATTTCAACAAATTCATTTAAGCGACAGGTACAAAGGTTTTATCTGCATCTGTATCACGTACCTTTTGTCACTTAGAACTCCTTTCAATGTTTTGTACAAAGATACTTCAACACATTTATTTCGTTGTCTGTCTTCATAAAAGAGCTAAAAGGCGAGATATAATACAGACTTGTAAAGAAGCAAAGTTAATTTCCGCCACAGAGAAACTCTTGATAAGCACGAAGCGCTACATTTCTATCACAATAAAATTGAAGATACACAGAAGACACTATCAGCAAAATAGGCCGTTAATCTAATAACGAAAGCAAAAACTTTGTAAAGGACAATGAAACTCGGCAAAACGCAAGGATTTCGATACAAGAAAAAGCCATTTCTTTTAGCATCATGTAACAGGTGTTTCCACCTTCAGAATGGAGTTCTTCTAGATGCTAATGTAAACATATGGTATGCAACATAATACCAAATGCAAAGTCTCTAGCTCTCAACGTATTGTAAAACAAATGCGAACGCTTTATTCATACGAAGACGACAGTTTATCAAAAGTCATGACAGGCCAGCAGCCTCAACAAAGTAAGCGAAGTGGTTTAGTATTCATCTGACATTGTAGGAGGGGTGACCTGACATTAAAATGAAACACTTCATGGCTTGAAGGGCGAGAACAGATATACACTGAAGTCGATAATCAAGTCGCTCTTACGAGAATGTCAAAATCGAAACACCGTGATCGGTAATCAGTAATAGAATTTGGTAATCGATTAACCAGCGCAGAAAATGCATAACTTTACAAAGGCAAAAGGCCGATTGGTCAGGTTTTCAAAGAATTTAAGAACTTTCTATCAAACAATCTTTTGGTGGTACAGAACTTAAAAAATCGCTTTCAAACAAGCAAAATATTTTGAGTCCTACTTAAGCTTTTCGTCTGACACTGTGGTGTTTAACAATAGAGTACCGTAGTGTGACGTCATCATAAAGCTAATTTTCGAATTTCTTAATTTCGACCACACAATCTGAAAAAACGGCATGAAATGCCGCCCAGTCTCCAAAATCAGGTAGACATGATGAAAATTTGGTTAGATATTACATAGCTTCGATGGGGGAAGAGCCCATGCTTAATGGCCATATATCAGCCAATTTGTAACACATTTCAACTGATCTTGCACATTTAGAGGTATTTTGCAATGCTCTTTTGAAATATATATTCAAAATTTAAAAATTCTAAAAATAGATTTTTGTGACATCATCACTTCGGGACCTTATTATCCACACATTCAATAGCTTTATGAGCCATGGCGACGTCCTAGAACAGTTGGGCCATAACTCTTATAAGGTCATAACTAAAAGCGTACTTTATGAAAATAAATGTTGTTAGAAACCAATTTATGCGGAAATAGACTAGAAATCAGAGAAAACTATAGCAGCATTACCACCAGCCTATCGAAACACAATAACTATGTCATGAATAAGCTTCTGGATAGTCACATAACAAAAAAGTGGCAATCAGCTGTCCAATGTCGGCGTTTATACGGATAAAGGCAGACCCCAGAGCCAAAAACACGTGGTTATCACGTGGACAATAACAGTGTCAAGGGCTAATGGAAACAGAAGAAAGCAGCACACCCAAACCACACCCAGTCAATTCTAATGAAGGTTTTCAGTGCTTAAATGAGTTTTCCGGAGGAGCGATGGGGACTTTTCTTTTAAGGTCTGGCTTGATCTCCTAATGTCACTGTCTATCTGTTCAGATCTTTCCATTGTCAAGCTTCATAAAATCACATCTTGCGTTATCAGTTTATCATTTGAAGTGAGACCTAGTTACTAGAAATCTTTTCGATGCAGAGAGTAATTAGTTTGCAATGTGATATTATGAAACAAGGAAGAAACTCCTTTTGCTAAAATCAACAAACGTTGAAAGCTTTGTATCGAGGTTCACTTCCTGTGCAATAATCTTGCATTCGAGAGAAGATCAAGGCAGATAAGAGCGAGTGATAAGAGGGTGATTTGATCGGGAGGTAAACATAGGAGGAAATAGCTTGGCACGACTCGGTGTTTCAGAATCAGTCAGCTAATCACTGCGATCAATTCATATCTATTTAAAAAACAAATCAGTCAATCATTCGGCTGAAAAGTGATTAGTGATTAGTGATTAGTGATTAGTGAAACGGCTCAATAAAACCTTACCTGCAAGTTTTCGACTCTATATTTTTTATCTTGATCCCAATCAGGTGGGCAGGCAGCATCAAACATCAAATCAAGATGATCTATAAACCTGAAGGATAATGAGATGAGATTAAGTGATATCATGAATTTCAGTCACAAAAACTGAAAGAATGACGAGGTACAGTAATATGGACATGTGATGCAGTAAACTTAGGCCAACATAGTAACTTATAGCTAAAATTGTCTTCCATAGACTATTCAAGGGAAATTGGCTGCGAGGGCAAGCCTTTGTTTATATAGAGTGAGAACAATAGCATATTGTTTAAAAACAATTGAAAGTCAGTGGGGTTTGAAGGGCAATTTTTAGCAAAAGCGACATCGTCGGTTTTGAGCAAGACAGAGCTTTAAACAGGCTTGTCAATATTTATTCCCATTTTGTTCATAGTCGTAGTGACTCGAACAATGTATTCAGTGAAAAAACGACACGTTGAGATTGAGTTTGGCATTAAATTTCTCTAGGATCTATTGCCTTTCCTGGCAGTCTTCGGCTTTGCGAGCAGTATAACTTACTAGCCTCTTCTCTATTTTACCCGGCTCGCAACCGAGATCTATTGTAATCCTCGGCTTTCGTGTAGGCGATAATGACGAAGTACAACCAGAAACAACAACTTAAACGACATGAGACTATGACCATGTTTATTTGACCTCTGCTGCAAAATGGACCGGAATTAAGATGTAAGTTGAGCTGACCCTTGCAGAAATGTTTTCAACATTTTTTTATGTGCAAAACTATCCAAGACTCTAGACTCACAAACGAGCAGAAAATTTCAAACTTATAAAGACAATGATTCTTTGACTTCTAAAAACAAAACCGATCCTTCAAATAAAATATATAAGGGAAACTGTAATCGCTACCCAGATTAAGAAAATATTTGGAAGATATTGCGATCTGATAAATTCAAACGCTCCAAAATTACAAATTACAGAGTTTTGAAAGATGAAGATAAAACATTCAAAAAACAATAAATATAGGGAATATTCATATTAAATCAACATGTTAGCAATAAAAATCTATTATATTATAGATACACATATTTGAAAATGGCTTTGAAAAAAGCAAACATTTTACGACATACTAAAAGCTTTTTCGTCTGACACTCCTCAGAGCATAAAACGTCAGAATAAGGTTCCGAAACAACACGATGGAAAATATATACCCAGTTGTGGATCGAAATAGGCCAATCAGAAAAATGCAAGCACAAGACCGGTATAGTTGGCCAATCAGTGCCGCGAGCCTAAAGAAAAATTACCAATGGAGTCAAAGAGAGAAAATGAACTCCTTTTGTCTACATAATGGCGGTTTTTTCATTTTTATGTAGATCGACCCCAAAACTGCTAGATGGAAGCTAGATAGATACACATATATAATTCATTCGTCTGAACCAACTGCAACCGATTAGTGACCCTCAGTTTAAGAAATCGCGCGTGGATTCTTGAATGATTCGAAAATTCTCTGCATTTCCAATAAACAAGAATTAAAACCAACTAAAACCATTTAAATATGCTTTGGTAAGATTAAATGGCCAAAATTGAACCAGACTTTGAAAAACCAAGATAATTGGTTGAAAATATCATCTTAAGTATTTGGATAATTTCGATTCTGAAAACTGAAGAGGTATTGGGTGGTTTAGAAAGCGTAACGATCAGGATTCCTTTTATGACGGTGAATAGCCCGTTAATAACCAGCTCGTTGATGGAGCGATGGGCTAGGCCAAAGGGCCTAGGCCACGAATAAGTAACGTACAAAATATACTACTTCTTTGGTGTTATCTCTAAAGCTTCAACGGAAAGACTAACTCATAACGTGATGAACACATACTAATAACCTAATAACATTAACAAAAGCTAATTAACAGGACAACACGAGCGTCACACTACATGTTGAAAGACAAACATGTTGTCATAAAAAGGCGTTCACTAACACAACAGGACTTAACAGAACATGTGATTTTAACACGCAACGGGAACATTACTAAATTGATTAAATATAAAATCCAAACCGTTACAAAAGCGATGATAGCTGACTATCAAGAAAGACTTTGATACGTGGGAATATTAACTTTAGATGAATGGGGGATTAGAATTATCCAAAAAATATAAAATACTGTATTGATATCGGAGCTATCATGAGATCGGCTCGTCTCCAAACGTTCTCATCAGTTACCATACAAATATGGTATAGTCGAAATTGTATATGTCTTAGTCACCAAATAAACGACATGGTATAGTCAAATCTACTCGTAGCAAACATGGTTCAGTCAAATATTTACGTCTTTGCAATGTCAATAACCACAATAGACTGTCTTTTTTGAAATGAAACTCATGCTTTCTGTCGTGGTCCCTATGCTGAAGATTATATTAAAGCTGCGCTTTCCAGCCATTGTTTTAAAACAATGCAGTTTGCGAAAAGAAATCAAACTTTCAGCCTACGTTCGTGAATTGTCAAAAGTTTTACGCATGTGTCTGGCAACAGTTGGTTTTATTGGAGAAAATGATCATCTTTGTCAAATAGAATTGAAAATATTGACATAAAATTACAAATGTGCTATTGAATTTTGTAGCCATTATACCAGTTTATCGAATCAAAAATTGAAAGCCTTTTCTTAGATTTCATGTAAAGTAAAGCCATTCTCGTATAGAATCTGTACATGGGAAAGGAGCCTGATGCGCAAGCTAGAAAACTCGGGCCTACAACATGATGGGGTAAGGTGATCATTTCCTTTCCGTCGCACTCTCCTGAGAATCAAAAATTAAACAACACGAGCTGGTCGTCTAGGGAATAGGCATGTTCAAAGATCAAGCGAATGGCACTCTTTAAACCACACATGAGAATTTGAATGCCAAAAGGCAAGGAAATATCTGGGAAAAATGTTGCGAATATTGGACTTCAAAGCTGCACGTGTTTTTAGAAAAAAAGTTAAGGGAAACAAAGAACTAAACATTTTATTTCATCCAGGGAGTTGCTATTCATTTAGAGAAACAAATATTTACCTGTGATTCTCGCAGAAATCTTCAATGAAATCTGATTGGTTGAACTCGGGATACAGGAAGTAAACAGGCCAATGAAGTTGATTCGACTCGTCTATGTAAAGTTTGCCATCTTGAGGCTGATGTTCCGATGAAGACTTTATTCTTTCAAGAAGATCGCTAGAAGATTTTTCTTTCTCGCTGCCTTCTATATTTATATGTCTCTCCTAAAACAGATTGAGCAAAAATTTGCAAAGAAGACAATTCTTGCAATCCTTAGGCGAAAGTTCTTAAAAACTAAGAAGATTGGTTCTACTTTCCAACTGAGTAGTTCTATTTCCCTTAGCTAAATACTAAGATACTTTATCGAAAGACTGCACTGGAGAAAACATTGTTTCGCTACTTTACACGGCTAGAATGGGGTTCCCTTAAAAGAATACATTACCACCCCTTCAAGAATAATCATTAAAATAAAATCCTGCAAGAAAGAATCTAGACTTTTATTGGCATGTATTTTAAAGATGCATATAGGATTTGTAAGGTTAAAGGTTCTAACATTTGACTCGTCTGTAAAAGGTGTATATTGAAGATGAATTTGGTTGACAATGCCTGACAATAAGGGTATATCTTGCTAATAGTTGGTTCAAGGCACCATGTCCTTTGAAATAAAAACCTTATAAATTGTCAGACAAAGCAGGCTTCTACAACATTTTAGTAATATACAATCATTTCGCTTACTGCAGACTACTTTCGAGCAATATGCAATGGTTTTTGCTAACAGAGTATAAGTTGTGACAAAGATGGTAATTTTATTTACCTTCATGTTGTGGCAAGAGAGAAAAGCCACCAAAAAGAGACCGTGAAAAAAGACAGGTTAATAGAAGAAGAAGAAGCCCTGAGACAAAGGAAGCTCTAGAGAGGAAGAAGGTCAGAGAAGAAGCAGCTTTTCAGATGAAGAGGCTGTGAGAAGAAAAAGCTCAGAGAAGAAGAAAAATTTGACAATGAATAAATAAATTTAGAGAAGAAGATGTGTTTGAGATAAACAAGCTGTGAGAGGAACAAGCTAAGGGAGGATGAGACTTCTGAGAATAAAAAATAGGCTTAGAGGAGAAAATGCTTTTGAGACAAATGGGCTGTTCGAAAAAGAAAATGAAGAAACTCTTGAGAATAAATATAAAAACTCTGAAAAGAAGAAACTCTTGAGAAGAATAAGCTGTGAGAAATAAAGGCTCCGAGAAATGAAGCCCTGAGAAGAAAAAGATCAGAGAAAAAGTAGTTCTGAGAAGAGGAAAGTCCTTAGAAAATAAAGGTCTGTAAAAATGCAGTTCTAAGAAAAAGCCTAAGCTAGGAAAAAAAGAGCCTTCTTCGAGATAAAGCCCTGAGAAGGTTATTAAAACTTTACTCAATACTAATAGATTCTTTGGTCTATCCGGAGATAACGGAAAATGTATTTTGTTTGCCTGCTCAAAACAGAGTACCATGGACAGTAAACAGAAATATTAATGTTCAGACGACCTTTTAACGGATTGTTTGCTGAAAAAAAGGACAAAATTCAAGGCAGCATGGAAGGCACGTTAACAAACATTTATTGGTTCTAATGTTTGTTTGTTTGAATGTTGAACGAATGTTTGCATCAGTGCGCATGTTATGATATGAAGAATAACAAATAAAAAGTATAGATATTTTAACGAGAGACGTTTGAGGACGGAGAAGCTACGGCTGAAGTTTCAAAATACGATGGAAAGGTTGCCGAAATTTCAGCTTGAAAAGTTAAAGGTTTAAAAGTATCTCTTAGAGCAGTCAATGTTGAATGTGCCAATGCAAGAAGAGAATACAGGAAGTTATGTGGAAGAAAATACAGATGCTGACACGAGAAGATGAAAAGACTAAAAAGCTTCTAAGGTTTGAGTTCGTAAAAATGAATAAATGGATATTGTTTTGATAGAAAGTGCAGATTCTCTGAACTTACAGAAACGGCAAGCCTTAGAAGCAAAGTATTAATCAATGAGGAAATCGATGGCTCTCCTTTAAATTTCACGTAAAGTCATTTTCGAATGTGATCTGTACATGGGAAAGGAGCCTGTTAGAGAGGATATTTTATTGCCAATAAGTAAGGAGATATCTAGGGAAATGTCTGTGAATTTGCATGTGACTTTAAAGAGAATTTCAATCATCTCCTTAAATATGTCAATCATCTCTTTGTGGTTGGGTCAACTGCAAACTTGAGTCCTTCCAGGTTAAAAAAATTTGAGTCATGCTGTTGTATGGCAGTGCTCCAAGTCACGTGTATATGTGCTCAAATTTGATCGATCTATTTCAATTCTAAATTATGTAACTATTCGAAATCACGTGATTAGCTCATTCCCAGTCAAAATAATGTACTCATACGAATGGGTGTGGTAGTGACGTGGTAATACTAATATGCATATTACCATATAAGTGATGATCGGAGTACCCTCTAATATATTTCGCGACACCCCACCCGAAGAGGCAGAGTCCTACGCCCATTATTTACCTGTATTGAGGCATACAAATTCATACACAACAAAATGCAGGACGAATTTCTCAAGAGGAACGCATCAACACCATAAAAATAAAAACCTGTTTGAAGATACCTCGGTCCTCTTTCAAAAAGATAATAGACAAAGCCTGCCAACCGCACACCAATAAGTCTGTAAGAAGATACACGACAAATTCTTCAATACGACAATCATCAAAACCAATAAAAAATAGCCTACTTTTCCGGTTAGAAGATACAGTAGTTCTCTCTTAAAACGACAAGTAACAATGCCTGGCAGACGACACATGAATGCATCTTCAAGAAAAACACTGCCTACACATCCCTTACATAAAAAAACCAATTCTTAAAAATAACCAATTCTTCCATAGTCGACATTTGCAGCCCTGTTAGAAGATTCAAAAGCCGTGTCTTTGAGAAATACAAGCTACAAGGACTGTAAAATACTCTTTTGGTATAATTATATTGATGTGATTATTTTTGGTATAATTTGGTATAATTATTTTGACTGTTTTGGAGTGACTTGGAATAGCCAGAAAACCAAGATCTTAACAAAAGCAAAACTACAAGTAAGACAAGCGTTATAGAATATCAACTCCATGATTTTTCAAACATCTGCTTTTGTGCTAAATCTGTGCAGCAAAATATCTGAACTGCAATGGAGAATCCACATTGGTCAGAGGAACTGTGACTGCAGAGGAGACACTCCCTCTTCACAACTCGGGTTCTCTGCAGTGCGCACGTAACATAAAACAAACGTTTTATCGTAAAAGAATGAGAAGAATGAGGTTTGGGGACATAAAACAAACTTGCTACCGCCAAAACGCTTAAAAAATTTCCATATTTTGGAACTTTAATGAAAACATAACTCCAGCTGGTGAGGAAGAATTACGTGTTTGATTGGTTAAATATTTCAAACAATAATGCGCTTGTGTTCTTTACCCATATATGATAATTACCTCATTGCTCATTTATCAATAACAAAAAATCTATATATATCTATGACTATTCTTTTTTTCGGTGGCACGAATGGTAATTTGGTGACTAAGAGCTCGTCACATGTGTTTTAATAATGGTTAAGGTAAAAAGGAAGATGAGATTTTCTGCATTGTCGTGCAACGGTGAAACTCCAAATTGGCTCCCACTTACCTCCAAAGCAGAAGCTAGCCTCATAGTCTTTTGACGAATCTTCTTTTCACTTGCTTCTCGTTTTCGTTTATCACGATCTTGTGATTTCTAGAAAAAGTTTCAAAAATGGGTTACTTTTCAGAAATAATGCCATAGCAAACTCTTTACGAAAGTTGCAAACGTAACGATTCGTGAAATTTAATTTTTTCCGGAGGGAGAATGTCAAATTACGTAAGGAAACAGGAAGCAATTCAGTTGATGATTGGTTGGTTTAGAGCAAGAGCATTTGCGTGTTGTCGTTCTCTCAATTTTATCACCTCTTATAACTTCAACATCATACAAGCTGGGCCATTTTTTAACAGAAAAACACTTTAAGTCAATATTTTACTTTTTGCACAATCCTGTGGCCGCGCATTCAACTAGGCCACAAGCATACAGGATTGCAGTTAGGAAAATTACTGTTTACTGCTCTGTCATGAAGTGCTCGATGTCGTATTCATAGCAACTTTATCATATGATTGCAGTCTTTTTTCGTTACAAGACAGTCGTTGGGGCTATGGGACTACATATCTTAATTGAGGTGATACAACTTCTAAAGTAAAATTAGTGCGGAATTTTAATGTGATAACAAAAGCCCCACTAGAAAATGACACATGTGATCTTCTCGTTTCAGTTTCACGACGTTTTATTTCAAAAATATTTCATGTTCCCGCAAGGGTGCAGCGCCGCAAGGAAAAGATATGTAATGTTATTTAAAATTTAGATTGAGACACTATTTAAGTACTGCATTCTGATGAAAAACTAATTATGTGCAATTTGGAAGTTGCAATAGACAAGCATGCTTTTTAGAAAAAAATGTGTTGTCAAAGAAATTTTATCCGTTCTCAAAAACGGAATGAAAAGTTTTCACAAACTAAGCTCATCAACGGCGAAGATTTTACAACATTGGCAACAAGTGAAGCTGATTGATAAAATAGAAGTCAATGCACATTTTTAGAGAATGCTAGCAAAAATAAGATGAGTGCGCACCTGTGCACCAATAGATTTTTGTCGCAGATTTACTAGTCTCTTTTCATTGGCATCAATCTGGGTAGAGTTAAGGTCTACTTTCTTGATATTAAGTCGTGGTAACGCTTAGACATATAGAAACTAATCGCAAAACATTATACATAACAAATTCTGACGTACAAACTACAAAGAATGATATCTACATTCCAGTTTACGAAGAATTATGACTCAAAAGCAACCAAACATTCTCCCCTATTCAGGTAAAGTTATTTTCTCTCGAAAATGATGTTTCCAAAAACAGAGTGATTGCTTCTTGGAAATAGTTTTCCCTACAGCTGTTAATAGTATGGAGAAAATTTACGAGTACACAACAAGTTTGTAAGCTTGTAAAGATCGCATCCTGCCAGAAACCTCTAAATAAAATGGCCCTTATGATAAAGAACAATCATTCTCAAGACTGGTGCCCCAGAACTTGCCTCATTCCCAAAAAAACTATTCCAGATCTCCTACTTCCTTGGCATACTTCCATCTTTTTGGAAACCGGCCAACATTTATCCCATTCCTGAAAAGATGACGAGTCTGACCCTTCAAATTACTGTCCAGTCGCTATTTATCTCGAAAACATTGGAGATCCTCATAACGACACACATCCATTTTCCTTCCTTCACCATTTTCGTCAAGCAAAGTCTTCTTTGGATAGTGCAGAGTGGTTTTTTCTCAACTTTTCATGGCATTTGATCATGGCACAAAGGTTATTTTGCCTACATTCCCCGTGTATGGTCAGCACTTCACCATTATCAGATGGTAGCTTTCTCTCTTATAGGTTCATAACCATTATAGTTGATAACGACCTCTCTACTCCTCTCTACTCCTCAGTCAAATAATGCTAGTGTTCCACACGGCTCTGTCATCTCTCCTGTTTTACCTCTTCATTAATAGTCTGATTTCTTCAAGAATTCATTTTTTTGTTGGCTAGAGATACGAGACCAGATTTCGTAGGCGTTAATGATATCGAATTAATTCAATACATTTCCATCACCCATTGCACTCATCTGATCTCTTCACTCTCTCCTTGGACTCACAGTACAATGCTGTTATAAAAACTCCAGTGCAAATAAACCTTGTAATCATTGAGAGGTGTGTTAAAGACAATCTCGTTGGGTTTAGTCAAACTAAAACCATACATGTTGTAATTCTACATGACCGTTAGCTTGCTTCCTGTTCCTATGAATGACACTGACTTAAATGCTCCTACTTTTTGCAACTTGGTCTTTCTGTTTGTCCAAACTTAATTTTAATGATTATCTCTTCCTTTGCCAAACGTTTTTCTCAAAAACATGGCTTGCTCTCTAGGACTGTGAGTTCCTCTTATCCTACATCTTTGACTATTTCATGTATCATGTTCGTCTTTCTTCAGAGCACTGTCCTCGAACTAGGGGTGCCGCTCCTTAATCCTCTTTGTCTTCTTGCCAAAATCCAGTCATAAGCCATTGACCACATCAAAAGTTCTACCTTGCAAATTCTCTCCAACCTATTTCTAATTGCTATTGAGGCACTGACTAATCAACCTTTTACAGACGCTACCACGGATACTGCCACCAGGAGACCACAGATCCTTAAGCCTCTGAAACATGTCCGAAATACCAAAACCTACTTTCGTGCTCACCATTTTGAAGTCTACTAACCAAATTCACCAACATCCTTCTACATGTTATCTTTCCTTGCTAGAGTCTGTAAACTTTAGAACACGCCATCCTCTTCTGTCTTTCTGGATTCTTGTTATCTTTTTTCTTTCCAAACAAAATCACAAATTTTTGTTTCGAACTCAACTTCTTTTCTTAGTCTCCTCCTCTTTTCTCTTGTTTGGAATGTTCTTAGGCCACTCCGGCTAGTCCTCAAGATAATTAACTAAAAACCTAATTAACTAATTAGGTATTTCCTGTAATTTTTTACAGAAATGCGCTTCTGTTGCTATAAACTTTAGAATGACAATTTCACAGCAATGTTCAAGTAACGTTTTTGGGGTTAATCTATGTTCTCGAGTAACTACAGGACATTACCTTTTTCTGCGTTAATCCAAACTTGACACCCTTGAAGCTGTGAAATTCCTACTGAACCACAGTCAATCGTATGCAAAGGAACCGGGGGTTGAACCACGTGATACTCTCAGTATAAGAGGAGATTGGCATGCAACAGGCGGTTGTTTATGTGGGGAAGTTTTACCCTTCTGCTCCGAATTACCTGTAAGACCCTGTCATTGTTATTCACATCAAAAGAAAACACTAAGAAAATGAGACTTTTACACCTTTCACTTTTCTTGCAATGGTAGTGTAAGTTTAGAAACAAGAGGATTCTTTCAACGAATGTTAGAACTTATTTTGAGGAAAAAGGAGACAAAATTATAGCCGAAAATCTGCTTGGATAAACGGAATGGATTTTTGCTTAATAAGATTTGCAATTTTTTGCTTTATGACTCTAGATAGCAACAACATGACATCCCTATGGATGTGAAATGGGCTCCCTGGAAACTAGCAACTGCTAGTGGACATTGACTACAAATTAAAAAAGTTCTCTTTTTGATCGATCGATTTATTTATATAGATAAATTGTACTAGCCATTGCTGTTAACTTAATACTTCTGACCAATTTTTCGTTATTCAAAATTCTGAATAATGTCATTCTTTGTGAATTAGGTGGTAACATGACGGTCAAATCTTGATTGGCTGGGTGAACTCACCAAATTTATTTTCACCTAGCGGCATTGGCCAATAAGCAAACAAGATTCTAACAAATAAACCCACTTCACTGCTGGAATTAGGCCAACTTTTGTCGTTTCAAAGTTTTTCACCGTACTATCCACAAAAAACATTCCACGCCCCTAGAAAGTAAATCCTCGTCTGCTATTTTTCCTAGATCATCTACATGCATTGGTATTCATCCTACATTAGAGCCTCTCTGCGGTCTTACGGGGAAAAAGAGAAATTGCCCACACAGAATCACTATGCTGATTTTGCGAAAATTAGCTTATTGACATCTCTTCTCTAAGGGGCTCTACGTCATGAGGTTATATTCTTTAGAACTCTGAGTTCTGACCATCTAATTTGAAACTATTTTGAAGGAACATTTGGTTACTTTAATTATGACACCATCACTTAGTCACTCAAAAGGAGCTGAACAAAAAAATAACGAAGAAATAAGCTGAAAGGATACTTGGAGTCCGTTGTCGCACCATTGAATGCAGTCGTCAAATCGCTTCAGCTCAAAGCAACTCATTGCAGCTTTAAAGAAAAAGTGGAACTTAACATGACAAAGATATAAACAAATAAAAAGGTTTAACAATATATGAAGATATACTATTAGGTAAAAATATGTTGTATCACCAGACTATAACACTTCCATTTGCAACACAGATTTTTTCCTTCAAAACCCCATAATATGCCAAAAAAATCAATTTTCATTGCAGCATCATGCCAAATTCTGGCATAATTCGTCACTGCTATCACGTTGCATTTACTTCCGAATGAATGAAATACACACGGGGAACAAAAGTAAGAAAACGGTAGTCAAATATGGCGGCTCGCAGTGGCCAAGGGCCTAAGTATGTAAACTCTTAATGAAGTATGTAGCTAAAATATCAAGATAAAGTGAGGATTATAACTATGTTATTTGATCTTATTTAACTAAAGATTCGAAAAATGAGCTCTGGTCAACAGAAGTTGACAAAACAAGAAAGTGAAAAAAACAACAAAATCGGGATTTTTACATAACACATTTTATAAACTTACCTCTTAAAATTGCTTTCATGTGTGTGTCGTTCAGTTTAAGGGCTTCTAGGGAATCATTCAGCGAGCTTCTATGGTTCTCTTTGAGAACAATTGAAAAATTAAAAGTAATAGCAGATATTTGCAACTCTAGTTTGCACTAGAACACAAGAAGGAAACAACAAATAATGTTTCTAATGATTCTACCCGAACGATAGTGCATGGCGACACAAGAATTGCCGAATCTACTACAATAAACTTTAAACTTCAAGCTTTTCCTCTCTCGGTAAATAGGCCAAACTACAAAGTCTTGCCAACTAACAATAGTTAGGCCAAAATGCAATGCTTAGCAATTCCCACAAGTGGCATCAAGCTTTTTGAAAATTTGACAATAAAAAGAGGGCATGCTCGCAAGGGGCATTTTTGAAAAGGGACAATACAAAGAAATTTACCTTCTTTTGGGGGTTTATTCGACACGCAGAATATATTAAAAAAATATCCAAATTTGTGATTTAAAAACTGAGTCAAAATTGAGCTAGAATGGTTTAATGCAAAAACATTGCAAAGAAGCTATAATCTTCTTTTCTTTCTGAATCTGAAAATAAAGTAGGGGGAGTTGTTCAAGAGGGGGAGGGTTGTTTAAAACTTGATGCTAAAGAAGCGTCTTATTCGAGAGGGGGTTCAAATCGAATTATTACGGTAGACGTTTAGCAGGTCGAGCTTAAAACCTAAGGGTAAATATTTTTATGGTAATCATATAAACTTTGGTAGAAACTCAATTGTCGTATCTGGAAAATTCTGAACATGCCTTCTGCTAGGTCGAAATCTTGACCTATTTTGCATGATTGAATTACCTCTCAACAAAAAAATAAATTCTAGAATACAAAGAGGAAAGTTAACGAAGACAAATTGAGTAAAAGTATGAAGAAGAAAGACTGCAGGGAAAAATAAGTCAACAAAGAACTGCAATCAAGAGTATATGATAAACATTGATAATATTTTATCCTGGCATACTGGCCCAGTTGTAAAAACGGCCTAGTAACTCTAATTATTTGCAGCAATTGTAAAAAAGTCGATAAATGCAGAAGAATTTGCTGTTAACATAACTCTACTCACCCAGATAAAAATTTGCCACTGCACGGTTTGTCAGTAAAATAACCCTGAGATCCACTTCATCAAATTTTTGCTTCAAGCCTTCTGAATATGCTGTAACAGCTTTATCATATTTATTATGCTTGAAATGGTGGTTGCCATCTTCTTTGTGTGCCAATGCACACTCTGTGATTGAATTAAACATGATCAAGCAATGAAAATAAAAACGTTGGCTGGTTGGAATTTTACTGGGTTGGTTGGTCAATGTGTCACTGGGTTCGTTGGTCAAAGGCTAATATTTTTCAAATAAACAAATTTGTGACAACAAATCAGGACCAAGATCAATGAACTGGATAAAAACCATAAATACGAAACCACATACAATGAGTGCGTTAAATCGAAAACATTGAAATAAAGCTACAATCTTATCCTTTCCTAAATCTGATAGAAATATAAGGGACTTATTAGAGAGGGTGCTGATTCCATAATTTGATGCTAAAAACGTGGTTTTTTTGCGGAGGGGATTTAGTAGGAATATGTTGAATTAAAACGTGCTGAAATCACTCAATAGTAATCTGACACACCTTTTGATACATTTTATGACAATCTTATGACAATCTTATGACAATCTTATGACAATCTTATGATAATCTTATGATAATCTTATGACAATCTTATGACGATCTTATGACGATCTTATGATAATCTTATGATAATCTTATGATAATCTTATGACAATCTTATGACAATCTTATGACAATCTTATGACAATCTTATGACAATCTTATGATAATCTTATGATAATCTTATGACAATCTTATGACAATCTTATGACAATCTTATGATAATCTTATGATAATCTTATGACAATCTTATGACAATCTTATGATAATCTTATGATAATCTTATGACAATCTTATGACAATCTTATGATAATCTTATGACAATCTTATGACAATCTTATGACAATCTTATGATAATCTTGTGACAATCTTATGGTAATGATGCTTTTATACTATTAGGCGAAAAATTTAGTGCATTTTTATAGATACATAAGCTCTTTTTAGGCACTCACTACAGCAATATATTCTTTGCTATAGTAAAAGGCATCTTTAAATTAATATCCTATCACTCAGCATCATATCAAATAGGATGTCTATAAAAACATGTCTAGAGACTGGCAGAGATATTATGCTCACTCTCTACAGTTCAATGTTGATATCTCTGTAATAAAAAAGGATGCTCCAACTTTGTATGGGAAAGGGCGCATTGGCTGGACAATACATGCATGCCACATGGCATGTGTTCAGGGGTTTTTATTTATTATAGATTCAATTCCAGAAATTGTTTGTTTTATATACTGAGCTTTTCAGTACACCCACCATTACACACACAAATTCCAAAAATTAGGTTGATCTTTGAGTTTAAACTAACTAAAGGCAAAACAAAACAAATAGAAAAAATACCATGAGGATCAGTTTCTTCATACTTCAAAGCTTGCAATGCTGCAAGTGCTGGTGATGCATCAATCTCTTCTTGTGTTGGAGCCTCATTTATAAATGCTGGCACTTTCCTAATCTCCTGTTAAAAGATTTTACGCATTCAATCATTCATCAAGCGACAAACTAATTCTGTTTTATTAAATAAGAGATGCAGGGTACTGGGCTTTATGCAGGAAGTGACATACATCAAGCTTTCTGTTTTAGAAACGGTCCTTCCAAAATGCTTTTTAAGAAGATGGTATCAATAATTTATCGCTTTATTGAGTTTTCTTTCTGCCAATTAAAAATCTGTATTTTTAAATGAAAACAATGGGAAACTGTAAAAGCAAATAAATGACAATCTAACATCAATTTCTGCTTTTTAACTGCATATATACCCTGTTGAACATGGCCTTGATCCTCATCATCTTGTATTTAAGCTATGTGTGACAGCAATACAGCTGCAGGGGGCATAGGAGCTGTGCCCCCAAATGAAAATCTTGACTACAAATTGCCTCTCCCCCCCCCCATTCTGGCTACAATTACTCCAAACGATATTTTCGAAAGTTTAGGCATAATAGCGTATAAGATTATTTCTTTGGCTTGAAAGGACCTTTCGGATTTGTTGAGCCAGAAAACCTATCCTTTGACCCTATCTATCATTGGCTCTTTAAATTTTGAAACCTGACTACTTGAGAAATATTCTGTGCAGGAAGTTCAAGTTCGACGTGTACAGCAGTGGCCTCACAAAATAAAGAGTGCTGGCATGTAGTACGACATGTTAGCTTCCTTTTAGCGTATTCGCTTGAAAAGAACTAGGCTAAGAGCAGCAGTGTAGTGCTAAAGAGGCTAACGGCCTGAGTCAAGGGGCTGAGTTCAGGCCTAGCCGTTTGTATTTTTGCAGGTGAGCTCTGAATCGCTCGCCTCGGTTGCTCAGACGAGCTAAATCAAGAAGACGTGTAATGTACTTTAAATGGTTTAGAATTCAAAGAAAATGTTATAAATCAATGCAATATCATTAAAAGTAAATTTTATCAAAGTCTTATAAGGGATAAACAAAGCTCTGATTTACACCATGTAACAAGCGTCTTTGAAAGTATGTAACATTCTAGTTTCTTAAAAAACCCTATAAGTTGTTGTTGGGCAAAACGTTTAGCAAAAGATTTTGCTGTCCAGTCTTTAAGCAGGATAAATTCATGACAACAGAAAATATTTCCATGATTCCCAGTTGTTTAAAGATTATGAAGTACTAGCCAGATATCTCCGGCCTAGGTTACATGGATTCCGCCTATGTGATGATCCCAATACAAAAACATTTTGCTCTTTGTATAGAAGAAATTACTTGTAGGAAAAAATGAAGTAGTTAAACCAAACTCATTTCACTGACTTCTTTAATAAGCATGCACCAGTTATTATGAAGAAAAATAAAGGCAAGCCAGTGCCTTGATTGACAAGTGATGTCAAAGCTTTGATGAATGAAAGAGACAAGATCAAAGAAAACAAGCAGTGAGGTTCATGATTTGCTTTATAAATGGTAAAAAAAGGAAGTCAACAAAGCTATCCAAAATGCATAATGAAAAGTTGCTAAGGGAAAACTCCAGTGACCAAAAGAAATTTTGGAAAACCTTGAAGTAAATTAACAAACCAAAGGAGGAGAGAAGCCAAGCATGTGATCCTGGGATTTAAACAGTGTGAAAACAAGCAACCCCAAGTCAATTTCACATGCCTTTAGCACATTCTTTGCAACCGTGGTTAGGAATCTGAAAGTAATGGCAAACCAGGGGGAATAAAAATGAGGTCAAAAAAGGTTCATTGTTCAGCCAATTTCACAACCGGAAGATATGCACCTATTAAGATCCATAAAGTGCAATAAAACAACTGGATGGGATAATTTGCCAGCTTGCCTGTTGAAGGACTCGTCAGCAATTTTGTCTGCTCCACTTGCTCATTGTATAAATCTATCTATTACAACAGGAATATTTCCAATGGACTGGAAGAGAGCAAAGATCTCACCCCTACACAAGTCTGGTCCACATTCAATCTTGCACAACAGCCGGCCTATTTCAATTTCACCAGTCATTTAAAAGGTCCTGGAAAAGGCAATCCATGCTCAAGTTCTTATATACTTGGAACAAAATTATCTGCTCTCACACTACCAATTTGGGTTCAGGCAAAAGGTATCAACAGAACTTGCAGCAACCTACTTATTGGATGACATTTGCGAATGTGTTGATGATATCAAAATAGTTAGCACCATATTCATTGATCTAAGCAAAGCCTTTGATACCATAAGTCATTTGAAACTCCTTTATAAAGTATCCAAATATGGAATTGACTGAAAAGAATATGCATGGTTCCAAGACTACCTGTTTGGTCAAAGGTGTTGTAAGTTACAACAATTGTGTCCAAGATGAGCAAGATCTTTTCTCTGGAGCACCACAAGGGTCAATACATGGCATTTTGTTGTTCATTATATTTTTAATGACATTACTGATGCGATACGGCACTCAAGTATAGTAATATATGCAAATTATACAGTCATACACTTTGTTGACAAGGACACGAAAAGTAACCAATCTCGAAAGGTCATTAAAATAGATCAAAGAAATTTTGTCATAAAATATATTTTTCTGGCCCCCATTCACCACAACACCCCTGGCAGGGATGGCTGGGAGTAGAAAAGTATTGGTATTATCCTCTGCAATTAAGACATAAGAAGGCCCCCACTCAAGGTCTTGAAACTGCAGGGATGGAGCTTCTATGTTTTGATTTAGGGAAGTGGGAAAAATCACCTTTTTGATATGATGGTTTAGAATAGCTTTTGGCAATAGAATATCTTACAAAATCATTTGAAGGCACTGGCCCCCTTTGCCCCCCCCTCTCAGACACTGATGACTTTGTAGCAATGTATGCAGTTCATCCAACTAGTTTTGCGAGAAGGATGGGTCCTACCATGGTTCTATGAAATACAAATGGATTATGGCTGCGGCAAACTACTCTGTTGAAATCGTATTTTGATACAGCGGTTTGCAACCCAGTAATGGAGCTCCAAGGTATTAGTCCATTAATTCTAATACCATGAGGTATTTGGCTTGCGAGTGGGACTATATTACGATACAGCGAGCGATTAACTACAGAGCTATGCAGCACAAAAGTATATCGTTTTCAAGATGTACAGAGTGATACAAGATGTATCGTCTGATTAGTGTAAGCATGATAATAATGTGAGACTATTTCCTGTGACTCTACAGAGCATATTTTGATGCTTAATTTCCTGCATAACATATAGAATTAGAGTTTCATACAAAGCAACTTTTACAACTGCCTTTAGCTTAAACAAATTATTTTATGACTGTTGCTCTTTATATTCAGTGTTTAAATTTTCTCAATCAAATTATCCATCCAAAGGCATGGCTAGCAAAACTACAGCTACATTTTGCAAATTCATAAAGTTAATTTCAAGCAATGTTTTTTCTATAAGCTGAGGCTCTATCCATGGTCTCTTCCACTGACAGTGACCCTCATAGTATTAGAAATGAAAAACTGATACCTTACTGCAGTTCACCCATTCTTCTATCACAGCTCAACAAAAGAAATTTACGTCATGCAGGCCACAACAGACAAAGAATTTTCAGGGCAGTGGTAGTGTACAAAAAGAAAAAGCAAAATAAATTTCTAGCTGTCTTGCCAGACTGGGAACTTTGCTTCTTGCGCGGGCAAGTTTATTTTGAAAATTTGAGACTGCGCGCCTGAAATCATGCACTCTTAGTTATTTTTATTGTTAATAATGTTAAATCCTATTGTCAAGGGATCTAGGGGATTTTGCGCGGCCAATATGCAAAAGCGCGCAGAGGTGTGCGCGGGCAATATATTGCGGGCGCGCAGCAAAGTTTCCAGTCTGGCTGTCTTGTACCTTAGAGAACCAAAGTCTCCTTTCTTTGAAAATAAAATGGTATTAGACTAAAACCTTTAATACCACCCGAAGTCACCCCTGGCCCCTGGCCCTCAGCCACGTCCAACTTGCATGGTCTTATAAATTTTATTTTGATAAAGCTTCCTCAATCTCATAGAAGAATGTTGGTATGTATATAAGCCTCAAATAATATTTTAACCAAACTTTAACTCCTTTTAACTTAATCTAAACTAAAAAGGGGACCTTTTATATTTTAGCCTTGGAAAAATTTTATCTTTTTTAGCTTTTTAACTTTTCAAATTCTGTCAATGAAAATTATAAATAGGGAATTTTTAGATTTCAGCTGTTTTACATTTACAGGAAACACATTCATAACAGCGTTACTTCGCTGAAGTGTTTTGTATTCCTGTTAAATATTCGAATTATTATCATTACTTATGATATTGAGACTTCCAAGCGCACTGGCTAATCAATTTTATACATCAGGATCCAGATTAGGAACTTTTTCAGTTGCCCGCCAGTTGTTGCCGCTCTCACTTTCTTAGAGAGGGGTTTGCGTTTGCCTATTCTTTAGCGGCTTGGGCAAGTGAATTTGAGTCAAGCAAAAAAGCATATACGGCGTAGATAGGCAGCTTAAAAGCCCGAAACTCAGCCACAAAGGTATATTCATTTCATTATATAGAAAGCTTTACTCTACATTATTTCAACTATCAAAAACAGCAAGTAAATGTAAAGCACTGGCTTACTTCTTCGAAATTCTCCGCAGTCAAGCCACCACTGTATTTAAATTCTTTATTTTTCTCGAACACCCCTTTTAAATGTTCTTGAAACTCCTGTTGCAATTGCTCTACTAGCTCGCTATTTTCTTCTGATTTTCCAGTCGCCATTTTACTCGTGGTAACAAGCAGCCTCCGAATGATAATAATGTAAACGAGGCTTACCAAAGAGTATTTTCAAGGCCGAGTGGCCAAGCTTCCAAGTAGTAAACAAACTAGCGATTTTGAGATAAAATGAATCAAAACGTGAAGTTGTTGAGTGTAGAAGAAATTGGGTCTATTGGCAATCAGCTACGGAAGATTTCAGAATCTATTGGTCTCGAAACGTACCCATTCAAGGTTATTTTTGAGAATTGCTTCTCAGCATTTTGTTCATGTTGTGTGTGTACATTCACATATAGGCCTTTTCCCACCTGTACTGTAGAGATAACGTTCGTTGTCAAGCATGCTATTTCCACATATCCTTAATCAATCAGTGTTTTTATATTTACGCAGAATAACTTTTGTGTAGTCTTCTGTTTTCCTACAAGCTCTAGAACCTGCACGACGTCATCATCACCGTATTTTCGCCGATGTAATACTATGACAGCAATTAATGACAGCAACAGAACAGCTTCCCGCCCCGCGCAAGTTTAACTGTTACAGTAAAAACTGCTATAGGCTTAAGTGCAAGGCTTGTGAGCTTGTTTTAAGAATTTAGCTTTCTAAAAGCAATTCCACATTCATTGTTTTTACAAGGCAATAAATGCAAGAATTTTGTATCTGGCACTTACAGAAACATCATAAATTTGAAAAAAACGTTTAAAGCATTCTGAACTCCTCCTTGCAAACCAGAGACCTCAGTGAAAAAAGCTGGCCAAAATGTCAGATTGCTAGACAACAGTATTTTTTCTCTTTCTTTCCTAAAATAATTTTGTATATCTTTGTTTTCTGTATAGGTTGGCTGGTATAATGAAGCTGTAAGTAATTCTTTTCACCTCAACTATCATCCAGATACTGTTGCCTTTGTGGTGCTCAGTGTTCCAGCCATGTTTGAAAAGTGCCTCATTCCATTCATCAAAGATGACAAATATGACTGCTTAAGTGCCCAGGATCCCCTTGATCAGTGCATGAGAGATGTTTTTCAGAACATTATTAAAAACTTTCCAGATTGCAATGTAACTTGCATACATGATTTTGAGGTCCACCCAAACAGAAGGCCTAAAATTCTGGTGCAAACAGCAGGTCATGTTTCAGCTGCTGCATATTATTATAGACAGGAGGAATTAGAAAAGCAACCTTCAGGACAAAAATTGTATGGGGTTTCTATTCATCCCAAATATGGAGGCTGGTTTGCATTTAGAGGAATACTGATATTTGAAAATATAGCCTGTCCAGATTTGATCAAAACATTGCCAGAAGATGTTGTAAAAACTGATGAACAGAAATTGGAACTTCTGAAGAAATTCAATTTCTCCTGGAAGGATTGGTCATATCGAGATGTTATAGAGTCAGCTTCGAAGTACTCTGAGGAGCAAAGGTTGTTCTTTATGACTCCTCCATCTGAAAGAAAGTCCCTTATGGAAACGATGAAAGAAAGCAAATAGGAAATTCATAAAACGTTATGCCTGGCAACTTGTTAAGTACAGGATGCCAACCAGGTGTTGGGCTGTGGTGTAGTGCTAGTTGGTTAAATTTCACTTTTTGCCATCATCCTTTTTGCAAGAGTTCCTGGCTCTTTCCATAGTCTGATACCCCAGTGACAAGTGTTATGCATATATTTGAACATCTGTTTCAGTTTCCAATTCAAAGCTGCATACATCATCTAAGATTCAAAACTTTGAATTCCATCTGAGCACAAATTTATCTCCCATATGGCATGGAAAACCAATTTGCCATTTCCCATGGATTAAAGGCCACCCACAAATGACCTGGTAGTTTGAAGCACTAACAAATAGGCATCGCATTATGCACCTTTAATATAAATATTGGCAGTTAGCAAAACCTTCTTTTGTGGATAAAACCAATGGACTATCTTTAAGTCAGATAACTGCTTCTTTCCAAGATGGGTGTACCATCTACCACATACGGCCCTGGCAACTGTTGCTTCTTGCAACTAAGTAAGTGCAAAAATGAAGTAAAAGAAAGAAACTATATAATGATTAAGCTCATTAAAAAGAATTTTTAAAAGCTATACTAAAAATAATGCTTGCTTTAAAACTTTCAATAATGATCTTAATTTATCATGCATATCATTCATTTACGCTGTATTTTCATGCAATCTTTTGATATTTTTGACCACATGCTCTTAAATTAATAGTAGTTAATTATAGCTAATAGTTATAATTAGTAGTTAATACCCACGTAGCTGACTTTGTTTTATAATCAGTTATAATTTTACATATACGGCATGTTTTGGAGAAGAAATTGCGGATAAAGTACTTGCATTTTCAGAAAACTTTTCATTCTTTTAATTATCTTTGGGGAAGATTCAATTGCAGCTTTATGATAGAGGAAGAATATAATTTTACCTTAGTCCACGCATGCAAAAAGACCTGGCATGACAACAATTGAATAATTTAAAAAGTTTTTTGTATTGTTATTTCGGTCTGCTATAGGCAACTTCAGACAGTTTCTGGCACTTAAAAATTGTTTAAACCTTTTTTGTCAAGAGGTCAAAGAAATCTGGAGAAATGATAGAAAAGTCATACAAATCTGCTTGTAAATTACGACAGCTAATTTCAGTGGCTCTTGACTGAAAGGGCACTCTAGCCCCCCTTGCCACTCCTTTTATAAGGTAAGGGTGGAACTTAGCCTATAAGACCGCTTATTGATGTTGATTGATTTCATTAAATAAACCTTTTGTTCAGGGACGAAAACAAGTTGCTAATTTTGGAGGGGCGTGGAAGGATGAAAATTCCAACTTTAATTGAGAAATTTTTCATTCGACCAGTAAATCTACTGTACCTACCAAATTGATATTTGTAAATAGCTCAAACACCATAGTTCTATTTTCTTTATAATTACCAAATGTTTACTCAATAATTAGCCTAAAGCATAAAAGCCTAAATCTCTAAATTTTGATTAACATGAAACAAACGTTTAAGCTTTCTGTAAGAAGTAAAGCAACATTTAAGCAAAACAGTATTAGATATACGCAGTATTCTTTCAGATCAATTAATCAATTTTATCTAAAATACATTTTTTCACGATATAGAAGCACCAAGAATTTGAGCCTTTTATTTTCGTTTTTGATCGAAAAAAACTACTAACAATTTTCAGAGGGCCAAATGCCTTTTCATTCTTTACAATTGAAATGATGATTTGAGAACAAACTTTTGCATATGCTTGATTCGAAAGACGAAACACTCTTCTTTGATCAAATACTTCTACTGCAGTTTTTTAATGTGTTCTTGCTTCACAGCAGTTTTGTCATAGGAATTTATGATAAGGACTCAAGGACATTAACAAATAACAGGGGGAGTTTAGCATAAACTCGTTTTTTATAAGAAGCGTTGAGAATTTTTAGTACTGAAAGATTCTTAATCTTTTATTGAATTAACTACTCGTAGTTTCTAAAAAAATTCTCATTCTAAAATTTTCTGATCAATGCGGGTATTATTATTCCAAACTGTAAGTTTCAAGTTTCTTATCCGGAAATTCACCTTGCCTGTTCGTAATTTTATTCAACTCCCGTCAGAAAGAAAGAAAAAGAAACGGGGCAAGTGTGCAATTTGGATCAAGTGGAGACGGGATTCACAATAGAAAACGATTGGATGGGTCAGCTTCAGCCTGTGAATTTTAATGTTTAGAATTTTTATATTAAAAATAAAAAAACTTCTTAAAATATAAAATTCACAAGTTTGGTCTTAAGAAAAAATTCCAAGTCAACCGCAACGTTTTCCAACTGTAACTGGATTTTCCAAACTTTGGGAGAGCGTTACGCCCCCCACGCCCCCCCTGTTATTTACGTGCCTGCTTTTGTTGCGAGGAGTTTCCGTTTTGATGATCTAATTTCACGTTGCAGAAAACGTATATAGATACGTTGTTACGTGGATACGAAGACAACGGTACGTGTAAGTGACAGTAACGCAAAGGAGGAAATTTAACGGTTCGACAATGGTCCCTACGAGCCCCCTGCCCCCTTTCCGGTGCCTTTAATGAAACCTTTTATAAAAGACAAATGACATAATTTACTGACAAAACCGACAATTTGCGAAAACCAGGGAGCACTTGCCCCCATCCCATGCCACTGCAATTTCTGCCACTGCTATTGGTTATAGAGTTCCTCGAGGCTCCGCGGATTCTTCTCAATTCATTGGCTATCTGTGATCCTTACATCCACTCAGGGCAATCGAGAGGCAACGTTTAGTGACCAAACCTCAACTATATATATATAAGAGACATATTGTTTTTTTCAGTCGTTTCACTTTTCAGTGACATCAGAATATAGCGACTGAAGACGTTTATTATCGTCCCATGAACTGAAAACCGCCTATCGGAATCGAAACTTAAATCAAGGGACAAGCTAGGGGACGATAGGTGCAGCCCTTGGGAAGACTTGGAGACGATGTTCTTTTGAACGATGTACATTTCAATCCATTTTGGGATATAGCTTATACAGAGGCGGATCCAAAATGTGTTCCTTGGTGCACAGAACTCAGTCAGTTTTCAACATATAGCTAATAATAATGTTGCCTGAAACAAGTAATATTTAAACTAAAAAAGTGAAACCTAAAAATTTTAAATTTTATCACAGTCTCTTCAAAATCATAAAATTGCCAGTTTCTTCCCTGTCGTGATTTGGAAACGATTTTCCAAGCGCTGTGGAGGGTGGAGGCCAACGGCAGTCAATCCTACGACTCGGAAATAAATGTTTTGTGCCTCGGAAGTGAATGAATCGAAACAATGAAATTTTTGTTTGGAACACGGATGGAACTCAGTCAAAACAGCATCTGGAACTCGGAAATGATACCATATTTCTAAGAGAGCTGTACAATGGCCAGTAGTTGATTGGCTACCTATTGTTTCTGTTCTGTTGTGGAACTGAAAAACATTGAATTAGAAATGTCGGCTTCAGTGTCTGATTTTCGCGACCCTCGCAGCATTCTAGCAGATAAAGCCAGGAGATATCGTTAATCGCCCAGGAGTGTTAACTACCTTTTCTTGAAATTGCAGTCTTTGATGGCACAAAAAACCTTTGCTCAGACGGAACACCATATTTTGATGAATACACTCTTTTTTACAAGAACCAGTAAATTTAGGTTCAGGCTGACTGTTCTTAATTTTTTCGAAAATATGAGGCTGGATTGTTCTTAAATTGTTCTTAAATTAAGAGAGTGTAAGCAGTGCTATTGCTTGCTGATTCGCTCTAAGGAGGTGTTCAGGCCTCATTTGCCAACAAAGTGAGTGAGGCAGCCTTAATTTGCTGACAAATTTGAATATTCACAAAAAAACACCCACACATCGCTAAAAATCCTCAATTTTGAGAAAAACGTTGTTCAAAATTGCGTTTTGCAGAAACTCAGCCTTAGCTTGCTCTTAATTTGTTTTTAACTTTTGACCAGTTTTGAGGCTCGTGTTCTTATAAAATTGTTCTTATAAAAAAAGAGAGTGTAGGCTGGTGTCTACGGAGGCAAAACAGCAAATTGCGAGGAAAACAAAAGGGAAAAACTTTGCTGTGGCATCCAAAACAAACAAATGATATTGAGAATAGAAGGGGGTTGAAACATTTTTCACAGAGGCACTGTTTTATGTCGGAAAGAAATCTAGAATCTAAGATTTATTGAGTAGATAGTACCTACTCCCCCCCCCCCCATCCCTCAATGGTACCAAAGTGAATAAATATGAATAATAATGTTGTCTTATGCACAATTATCAATGCATTATCTGAATGTCCCTATCCTTGGCCTGGAACTCAGTCAGGTTTTTTGCTGGGTCCGCCCCTGTTATAGAAAATATTTTGGCAAATAGATCACATAGGTTCCCATGCATTTTAACTATTAGAATTTCTCTCTGAGGAAATCTGGGCAATTTCAATTAAGATAAAGTCCTAAGATCATAACAGGAATCGTGCACAACCCGCCTATTCCCCATCCAAAATTGGGGTGTCTAATTTTGACTCACTTATTGATGGTACTTTTGATCAGTGCTTTGTTTGATCTCTCTGGCGCTTCAGTGACTGGAACTCGCTATCTTCATGCAAACGATACTTTTTAGATAACTTCTCTCAAACAGCATCTAACCCTTCCATATTTTGTGGTGCATTTCGTCAGCATTCAAGCAAAGTAGAGACCTTCATCGCTCCAAAGCTTGTAACCAGAAAAGCCAAGACTTCAACGCAGGGAACCTATCGAGATGCCACAACAGCAGCCTTTATGCTTGATCAAACCAACCATATCCTGTGTTGGACTGGTCTCTTTTTCCAAACCTAAATCTCATTGTCCGATTGCCAAGGCTGTATCTAAAATCTAAATGACCTTCTCCATAGTTAAAACCTTAAAAAACTCTATTTCATCGGACCTTACCTTAAAGTGGACTTATTTCCTACTAAATTTTCATACTACTTCATGAATGATGAAAAAAACAAATAAGCTTCTGCTTCAGTTTCCCTTCTTCTGTCTCTTATGGGTGCAAATAAATTCTTTGCAGGCAAAGTATACCTGCAATATCCCTGTGATATGATCACATGGTATAACCATTTCCTTATTCTCCTGAACTTGCCTCAATCGTTAACAGACTTTTTCTCTCTTTTCTTATTTTGAAAAAAATGAAGACACCAAAAGTTTTATATTTGAGAATTTTTTAAATTTGACCACGAAAGCAGAAAAAACACAGTGAAATATCACCAAAGAGGTAACATCGGTTAATATGTTGCAAAATGACAAACTTATGGTCCAAGTATTGCTAATGGATACAGTTGTTTTGAAGGTCAAAACTCGTATCACTAGGAAAGATGGATATTTTATTGGTAGCAGGGTGCATTTTGTAGAAACGTGGCTGAGATATAGTGCAGAAACAGCTATTTTGCTTTGAATGCGACATATATGAAGGTGTTCTGAACAGGGACCGCGCACCAGTTTAAAAGAGGAGGGGCTGCCCGAAAATTTTGTGATGCCACGCCCTTCCAGAACGCCGGAAGACGCCCCTTTTTTAATATATTTGCTTATTTCTACTCAATTTTTATAAGCAGGCTGGTTCAGAGAAGTTATATCAATAACTTTAAAAACAGATAAAATTAGCTTTAGGGTAATAAAACACCAAGCTAATCAAGTTAGAAAAATATATCATATCATTGAACAAAATGAAACACCTAGAAAAAGAACAAAAATGGTTCCCAGTCAATGAGAACTGCTACTTCATAGGGGTAGACTATCCCAAGTTGCGTTAGAGTAAACCTTCAAAAAAAGTTTCTAGCCTATTATTGCATAAAGTGGGGGGGGGGGCATAGCCCATGCTAGCCCGATGGCTGCGCGGCGCCTGGTTCTCAAAGCGACACGGAAACAGTATACAGGTTCATTCTGCATTTCTGTGCTATTTCAGACGTTTTTTGAAATTTTTGATAAATTTCAACACTGATCAAATTTCATTTCTTGTTGAGATATGCTGAAATATCGGTTTTTAAATTTGATTTGTGGTTGAACCGGCAGCTGGAAAAGGTGGGGGCAAGAAGGATCAAACAAAAACACCAGAGGAATTAAGAGACGAAATAATTACAACACTACAAGCTGTGAAGGTAAAAATCGCCAATCGCAAGTAGCATTCCCCAGCATTCTAAGTAGAAAGGACAGTGCATTCCTAAACGCAAGGGTGAAGAAGGTGAATGAATTGCTGAAGGAAGAGCTGGAATCGAATTTATTGAAAATGAAAACTTTTATTTAGTAACATAGAAAGTGATGGCCTGCACATAGTGATGGCCTACATCCAGGAGGTGTAAGAAAGTTACGAGTAATTTTACAAATTATCATCGATACTGCTAGGGGTAAATGGGCCTATCGGAACCAAGAGTAGACAATAGGATATAGATAATCGTTCAAGTCGCAAAGGTTTGAGAATTGCGTCCTATAACATCATTTCTTAAAGGCAGAATAAAAACAAACTAGAAACCTTAAAAAACGAGCAGAATTTTGACGTAGTTGGATTATACGAAACGAGACTTAAGCGGAAAATCCCTAATTCGATAGTAAATAATGGTGAATATAAAGTCTATCGAAAGGACAGGAATGCTGCAGGTTGTGGGGCAGCAATATATGGGAGACCCTACATCATTCTCAGCGAGTTGACATTAGTGATTCGGATCTGGAAATTGTTTGCGTTGAAGTAATGACGAACAATGCAACAAAATTTATCATTCTTTGCTGGTACAAGGACCCAACAAATAATCTTGATACCAAGTCCTTCGATGCTTTTGAGGGATTTCCAAGTAAATAAGACGCAGAAGACAAGGAAGCGATAATAATTGAAGATACGAATTGTGATGTTATGTCTCGTAAAGATAGTAATAGAAAACGACTAAAATCTTTATACAGTATTCTCTCCAATTAACGGACACTCTAAAAGGCGGACATCTCTGATAAGCGGACAATTTTTTTTCTCCGATCAAAGGATCTCTGGTCAAAGTCTCATAAAAAAACTTTCTAAAAGGCGGACACTTCCAATTAGTGGACACCTTGCTCTTGCCCCAATGGTGTCCGCTAATTGGAGAGTATACCGTATGACCTATTTCACTTCAAACAACAAATCGACAGTATTATACTTTTATTGCTTCCAAGACGAATAAAGATGGCAAGACAATTGTTACAAAACGCCTCATTTACCATTTTGCAACAAATAGAGAAAAAAATAGTTTTGAGACCGATATTATCAAGTCAGTTTTGGTTGACCATTATTTATTAATCGGAACTAGGAAGGTTAATGCTTGGCGTATTTTACAAAGGAGTGAAAAAATCATAGAGGCCAGATCGATGAATAAGTACAACAAAACTGAATTTTTATCAAGCTTGGCTTCTATAGAGTGGATGTAAGTATTCTTTGACCTAAATTTTAACTCAAATAGGATGACAGATGCTTTCCATGAAATATTTGAGACAACGTTACATTCCCATCCACCTATTAGAAAACGAAAGGTGCGTACAGAACAAACCCCGTAGCTCAATCCTAGCACAAAAG